ATAGGAGGTGACGGCTGAAGCTGCAGACACACGGGCAATAGGAGCGGCTGGCACAGTGACTACTGGGACAGCGCCCCGGACTACTGGAGTAACTGGCTCGGCGGCTACGAAGAGCGGCAGGAGCAACGGACCCACGGGCGACAGGCGCAGCAGACTCTCTGGGCTACCAGGACAGCGCCCCGGACTACAGGTGCTGCGGACGACAAGACGGCAGCCTCCGCTCAACCTCCCCCAACTGTCCCACCCCTCTTTCACACACCCCCTGCTGAAACCCTAGCTCCACTCCCACGGCACCCCCCTTAAACCCTAAACCCTCGGCTCCCACACACCCACCCCCCTCAGCGGCAGCTGCAGCAGTGGGAGACGGAGGAGGAGGAGGAGCTGCAGGTTACCCACACCGGTCACCCCCATGCCCGCCACCCCCAAACCCTAACGCAGGCAGGAGCGCGGGAAGCAGCAGGGGCGGTTCACGGAGGGAAAGGGAGGCGGCGGGGGGGTCTCCTGGGCGCCACGAAGGAGCAGGGCGCGGGCCCCCTGAGGGCGCCACGGCGGGTGACGGGAGGGGGGCCGCGCACGGGCCTCCGAGGGCGGCTCGACGGGCGACGGGAGGGGCCGCGCGCGGGCCCCCAAGGCGCCGCGACGAGGCGACGGGAGGGGGCGACGCGCGGGCCCCCAAGGCGCCGCGACGAGGCGACGGGAGGGGGCGACGCGCGGGCCCCCAAGGTGCCGCAACGAGGCGACGGGAGGGGGGGACGCGCGGGCCCCTAAGGCGCCGCGACGAGGCGACGGGAGGGGCCGGCGCACGGGCCCCCAGGGCGCCGCGACGAGGCGACGGGAGGAGGGCGACGCGCGGGCCCCCAGGGCGCCGCGACGGGCGACGGGGGGCAGCGCGCTGGTCCCCGGGGGCGACGCGAGGGTCGACGGGGGGGCGCGCCATGCAGAAAACCGCCGCGCGCCCCGGGGCACACGGCGGGCAGAAAACCGCCATGCGCCCCGAGCGCGTGGCGGGAAGAAAAAAGCGTCGCGCGCCACGGGGCGCGCGACAGACAGGAAGGCAGCGGAAGCAAGTGGGGCCCACAGGCTAGGACTTAACAGTCTCTGATTCCATGTCAGAAGAATAGCGAGAGTAAGGAGCCATAGCTAGGGTTTACCTAGCTAGGCAAGCGAGAATTAGGCAAAGGAGGGTTTGAACTAGAAAGGAGAGGGATACAAATAGCAAGCCCACAAGGGTTATACTCACTAGTGAGTACCCCACTACAGACTAGACAAGCATTATATTCTGACAGAGTGCCACGAGCAGCACCTACAGCGAGGATGTTCTTCTCTGCTGCAAGGAGGTGCTTCTCGAAGTCGTCGACAGTGAGAGTGGGGGGGTCTAGCGCTAGGAAGTGGTCCCTGATTGAGCTAAGAGTGTCAGGGAGGCGGGTAACGAGGAAATAGAGAGTGAAGTACATCGGGGGGGGGGGTTGCGGCGCAGAACTCGGTTGAAAGGGCGGCACGAAAGCGAGTGTCAGTAGCGCGCAGGTGGGAAATGAGGTCCTCAGCAGTGGTGAACGAGGAAAGGTCGGGGAACAGGTAGGGTAGCATGAGTCGACCTATGGCTGCAGTGGCCGGGGAGGAGTAGCGCGCAACTACAGCGTCGTACAGCGTCTTAGCAGTTTTGTGCTGGCTGAAATGCGCGCGCTCAGGAATCGGCAGATGGTTCCTAATAGCTAGGCGTGCAGCAGCATCGCGAGTCTGCCACTGTGAGCGTTCGAGAGCAGGAGCATCGGCAGCAGGAGCAACGGCAGTGCCAGACACGTAATCGAACAGTGAAACACCCTCTTTGGCATCAGTCAGAAGGAACAGTTGCAAGTCGTCGAGCCATACAGCGAACTCTATGGGGCGACCGTCAGGCTCGAACGCTATAACATTAGGCTCGTCATAACGGCAGCAGGCAAAGGCAGCAGGAAGCAGGCAGGCAGTAGACCGCAGGCTAAGACAGAGGCAGTAGGCAGCAGGCAACACAGGCAACGTGCAGGGCAGTAGCTTGCTGCACTCGAGCTCCTAAGGTGGCGCTCTAGACAGTAGCAGGCCGCGCACTTCTAAGGCAGCGGGCTCGGCAGCAGTGAGCCGCACAGGCAGGTACACGAGTAGGGCACGCGCGGCTGCTGGCTGCGTGCGGCTGAGGGCTGCGCGCGGCTCCTGGCTGCGCGTGGCGACTTGCTGCGCGTGGCTCCTGGCTGCGCGTGGCGACGGGCTGCGCGCGGCTCCTGGCTGCGCGTGGCGACGGGCAGCGCGCGCGGCTGCGGGCTGCGTGCGGCGACGAGCTGCGCGGGCGTGGCCTAAGCAGGCTGCGCGCGGGCGGCGTAAGGGGCGCACGGGCGGGGCCGAAACGGGCTGCGCGGGCGGGGCCTAAACGAGTCGCGCGGGCTGCTTAAGAGGCGCGCGCGGGAAAAAAAAAGAGGGCCACGCGCGTGCAGCCGAGGCGCGCGCGGGCACTAGGCAAGGCAGGTACGTTTTAGTGAGGTGAAATAGTGAACGGTGGGCCCTAATCCTAGGTCCTAAGGACCTATGCTCTAGATGCCATGTTAGAATCTTAGGCAAGGTGGTTTGAACTATCGAGGAGTTTGGTACAAAAGTAAAACCTAAGGGGTTGTACCCCACAGTGAGTACCCCACTAAAGCCTACCTAAACTATAACATATAAACATATGTTTGACAGGAGGAGGAAGAGGAGGGGGGGGAGGAGGGAGGGGAGGAGGGGGAGGAGGGGGAGGAGGAAAGGGAGGAGGCCATAAGCAGTCGCACTCGCGTTCAGGATCCCTCATAGAAGGGGTTCGCAACTGGGGAAGGTCTAAGGTGAGCATGCGAGGGAGTTTTGACCCTCCTTGCAATCCCCAGTTTGTTTTTCTTTGATTTGAATCCCTGATGTGCGCGCGCCTCCTAATGTTTGTGTTCTGACTGATTCTCTTCCCTCCAAACAAGGCTCCTGTGTGTTCCTCGTTTGCATCCTCAATTTGCCCATGCCTATACTTGGATGTACAGCCAATCTTGCGTCGTCCTGCCTCTATGTTGTGACTTGCCCATCCTGCAGTCCTCGAGCTCATCGCATCACTAACTCCTCTCGGCCATACCATCTGCTGTTGCTGCCGCCACTCCGATTGCGGCTGTCACCACTGATAGCAGCAGCAGCAGCAGCTACCGCAAGGGGTGGCATATCAGTTGCAATGTAGAATGCACGCCAAGCAAAGTTGAAGAGAATCAATGAGGGCCATCTGCCACGGCACTTGGGTGGTTCTCAAGGGAAGGTTCTGGTTTGCTTGTTACAGGTGTTTGCAGGGACTCGAGTCAGGAGGAGCTCTTTGTATAGCAAAATCGCTTAGATGCGCGTACAATATTGATGTGCAGAAGCAGTCCCAGGATAGAATTTCCTTTTGTTGCCACGATTAGCTCTGGATTAGAAACTTGTAATGCATAGGTGTTTCGAAGTAGTTGGTATAAGTATTGTTAAAATTCAATCATTTTAATCTGTAGCGTGGTATTTGGTGACAAGCTGAAAACATCCCATCAGAAACGGCTCATCGGTTGGTTGTTGACAGCACCTGAAAGTACAGTAGTGCTATGGTAGAGAACGTGGGGATTTGCGCCATTCGTTCTAGTCTCAATACTCGATATCAGAACCTTTCGTGCAAGAACACATGTGCTGGCCGAAAGCATTGCTACTGGTGAAGACTTTTCTGGGTCACCGCCAAAACTAACGATCAAGCCCCATCACACCTTTTGCTGACGTGGGTGAGCTCGCTTTCTGCCAGCAAGGCCCAGCCAAGTCATCGAGCCAGCGCAGCGTTGACAATACATACGCGGCGCGCGGAGCCGACGGTCGCGAACTGATGGAATGTTCGCCCCGGCTCGTTGCATAATGCTGGTGGCGGCGATCGGGCAGCAAAGATTGCAAGCGGGGCAGGGTGGGACAGTGCCACTTTGGGTGCTGGTATGGTTGATATGGTTTGATGTGGTTTAGTCGGGTGCTGTCGTTTCACCAAAAGGATTTCGACCCCATTCGGCTCGAGAAGTGAACCTGTATCAAGTGGAATGACGCAGTAGTGTACTCCACACGCGTGGGCATCTGGGAATCTGCAAGGCGATGGCTGGCTGAGTGGGTATCTGCACTGCATGCACCCCTTCCTTCTCCCCTCAATCCACGCATCCATCCATCCACCCGCCCATCCACCCAACCACCGGTTTCCCCTCCCATACCATGCCATACATGCCATGCGGCATAACATCCCCATTTCCATTCCCTCCCCAATCACACCTCCTCCTTGTTGCCCACCGCAATACAGTACACCTCGAAGCCTCCAATAGCTGAGCACTGCTTGCGGTGCACGTCAACTCACCTCACCTTCCGCCCCTCTTGCCTCGCCTCGCCACGCCCCCAACACAAACAACTCACCCAACCAACCTGTCATCCGCCTCCTCTCGCACTTACCATCTGCGCCACAAGCCGCACGCGAAGGATCGTCTCGACTCGTTTCGCCTGACGGGAAAACCAGTTTCTCGCGCTCGCGTTAGTTGGTGGCTGGCAGGCAACGTTGCGCGCAGCGCGCAGGGGTGAGGGGGAATCAGCCCCAAATCTCCGCCCTTCGCGCCCCACCGTGGGCAGACCTGGAACGACACATTTTTATCGCCTCAAAACGCTATTCTTCCTCCACATTCCTCACACACGCACTGTGAAACAGCCCCTTTCATCAGTCAAATTATCAATCTCGAATTGACCAGCTCACTCCAGTGCGTGTTTCCCGCAAGCCCTCTAAGGAGGATTCGCCTAGCGTCCACTATACCTCGCGAGTCACGCCAATACAACAGCCGCTCAGTCTTCATCACGCCACTTTATCCACCCAGCTCAAAAATACCTCCTGTCACACGTGATCATTTTGTCGACTCAGAAGCTTCTTGCCGCAACTTCTTTGCGCCGTCGATTTAGACTTTCACCTGGGTCGTTTCGTTTCCATCCGTACGATGGCATCGGACTCCGTCCATCGCGACACGGGGATGATCGAGCTGGACCTGCCTCTCCCCGACGTCATCACCGCGACGGATGCGGCGGGAACTTCGGCGATATCTACGCTTGTCGCAGGCCCAGGGAGCGTCAAACCCGTCTCCGCCGCCGAAGAAGCAGCAGCAGCAGCAGCCGGCATGTTTCTTGCCAATACCCCTGGCGTTGTCACTGCGTGCGGCGTGCATGTGTGCGCGTGCTCGGACTACAAGGAGGCCATTTACGACCTCGCGAATGCGAGCTGGAGGCAGCTCGGGGACGTTTGTGTCATGAACAACAATCCCCGCAACTCTGGCAATTCCATCCCTGCGCGCTCCCACACTCTGCTCGAGAAGCGTGCCGATGATCCCGAGCTTCTCCTTTCGGCTGAAACTGCTGAGCAGGTCAACCAGCAGCACCCGCCCCAGCAGCAGGAGGAGCCGGCGCAGGAGGAGTTTTCGTTTTTCCAGTTTCCCGTCGTGCCCCAGCGCACCATGTCCCTCCCGCTTGTGGATCGTCCCCGCCTCGGGGAAGCCTCGCCCTTGGGAAACGACGGCTGGGCCGTGACGGGCGTTGCGGGAGCTGTGCCCGACTGGCGCGACATGTCGGCTGCGGAGGAGGTGCGGTGCGCCGCGATGCGCGAGCAGGGGTACTGTCTGTTCGCCAGGGGCGGCGGCGTGTGCTCCCCTGGCGGCCTTGGCGGGTTCTCCGTACCCGTGCAGTGATTGGCGCCCGTCTCTGACCCAGGCTGCTGCGATTGTGCTGAAAAGAAGAAACAAACGGACGGCTCTCTGCAGGGTTTTGTACATTGGATTCGGTGTCACACTCGGAAACACGGTGTTGGGACCAGCTGCGCTCGGGTGTGTGATGATGGCTACAGCACTCTGCGGGGGCGAGGCAGAGACACGATGCGGAGATTAAGGAGCAGGGTGACAACGGAGTCTGCAAGAGAAGCACGAGGGAAATTCGACAACAGCGGTTTGAGCGATTTGTGAGAGTGGGGATTCCAGACGGATGGAGGCGAGTGGGGATTCAGTCAGGGGAGTTCTCAGCCCTTTCCACGTTTACATTTTTGTACAGGAGCAAGTTTCTCACCACACTGTGCATGGCTACTTATGGCCGACTTCTGGTGGGGGGAGATAGCTGGTAGGGTTTTTTAGCTTGTACATAGCTGTCATGCTTGTTTTGAGGGTGTCCTTTCTATGGTGGCTGTGCTATGTACATGTTTAGCCATAGTGAGCTTCTGTATTATAATTTACTGCTGATGTTACCATGTTGAGCCAGTGGAGTATGCTGAACGAAGTACTAGTGCTCTCCCATCCTTGCAGCTTCAGATATACCGTATTACTTCAGTCAGACAAGGGATATAATACCAGATATATTACACAAGCTCTCTCTGTTTTAACTGACAAGGTTTACTGTATAAGTATGTTACGATTTGTGTACATTCAGGTTTCAGGGAGCAAGCAATTCCAAGCCTGCGAGCTGCACTCCACATTCGGACTTCACGAGTTTGCCAACGTCACCAGAACGCCCGCGTGACTAGGAGCTGCGTCTTGCCAAGTTTGCCACATCACGATCCACGGCCTCTTCTGTGCCCAGACTTCACAGAACTCAAGAGATCGCATCTGAGGCGTTGAGAAGAATCACCAAACATCTGTTTTGAGTGAAAGTTGTTGAAGAGCTGGACACGTCAAGGGAGGCTGGAAAAGTCCCGTCCTGGCGTGTCACTTGTTTACCGTGGAATGAGGAGGAAGCGGTTGGAAAATCGGGGTGCGTTTCAGACCGCTTCAAGCCCCATTATGTAAAGACTACCGCATTTTCGAAGTTCTAGCACGATTTCGCGGTTTCACGAATCGACCCCCTATCCCAAACAGCTTCGGGATTCAACAAGGAGTGGCACGAAAGGTGGTTCCCGAGTCGACACTCCATCCCAGATTTGTAAACGCGTCCTGAAGACGTGCTTTCCCATTTTCCCGACTGCTCACATCCCTTCCACCACATCACACTTGCACAGCATTTTTTTCGTTCCATATCACATTTGCTGCATCACAAGCACAACAAGCACCACCAGCACAAGCTTCAGCCTGCCTTCAGGACGCTGTGTCACCTCCTCTCCTGCGTCGGTTCGAGGCGAGGCTTGCAGCGTCGAGATCATAGACTTGTTTCGGCGAGCTTGCTTCTGCTCTCGCCGGTTTTCGTGGTGCGTGTTCGCTCGTGCTTGCCGACTCGGAGTAGCTATCCTCTTGCATCCCACGTGCCGCGTTTGGCGGAAACTATCACATAGCTTGCAGAGGCGACGCGTACGTCCCGCGAAATCCGCGAATCCCGCTACTCCACGTCGTTTCACAGTCGTCCCGTCTCTGGTCGCATGGCGGCCGTGCGAAGAACCGCAGTCGCTGCGACGCGACTGCTGGACTGCGTCGCCGCAGTCGCCGCATCTGGGCGGCACCACATGATTGCGGTGGATTTTTCTTCCCAATCCATCCCCGATAAACGCATGCCACGGGAATACCACACCGCGCCTATATCCTCTCCAAGTAACCTCATCCGTTGCTCCTCCTCGTCCGTCGCGTCTTATTCTTCGCCGCACAACGCGCCATGCTTTTCCGAGTCGCAGTCGACTCGGAGAAACCACCCTGCTGGTTTACTTCACGGCGCACTCTTCCGCGGAACAGGATACGCGCGCCGATTCCATCCCCCACTACCCGCCGCTATTTCCCCCATCTCCGCGCGCGGAATCGCTGGAAGCGCTACTAGTGGCGCGGAGCCTGGCGGAGGCGCGGAGGACTGCGGGGGCGGGCACGCGATTTTGGAGCTGAAGCTGGCGCAGACCGGCGAGGGGATTGCGGAGTGCGAGTTGCTGCAGTGGTTCGTGGAAGAGGTGAGCGGTGGGGCAACGCGGGGCGAGACGGGGAGGGCCGGGAGGGCGGGGGATGACGGGAGGTGAGGGGGGGTGAGGGGAGGGACGGGGAGGGTGCGTGAGGGTGGGCGACTGGATATTACTTCTCACTCGCGAAACTTTATGCATCCTAGAAATATTCACTCAGGATCCCGACAACCTCGCGCGTTTCTGTCGCCCCCTCATGTTCTCCTCCCCCAAATCTCCCCCTCTTCTTCCCCCTTCCTTTCACCTTCCCTCCCTACCCGCCCGCTCCTCCCGCTCCCCCCACCCCCCACTCTCCTCCGCGCGAGCGCAGGGCGAGGAGGTGCGCGCGTTCCAGCGCGTGTGCCAGGTGCAGAGCGACAAGGCTACGGTGGACATCACGAGCCGCTTCCACGGCCGCATCCTGCGCACGCACTTCATGCCGGGGGACGTCGTCAAGGTGCGCTCCGCCACGCGCGGGGGAGAAAAGGATGAGGGGGAGGAGGATGTGGGGGAGGATGGGAAGGTGCAGGGAAGTGTTTTTGACGCGGGTGGCAGGGGGGGTGTTTGAAGGGAAGGGGATGGTGGAGCGGATGAGGTGCTGAACAATGCTTCGAGGTTTTTTCTTTCTTTCTTTCTTGTTTCTTCTTTTTGTTTATCTGATGTCACAACTTCCTTTGTGTCACGACTCTCTCTCTCTCTCCATCCATCCATCCATTGCACCATGACAGGTTGGAGAGACGTTAGCGGACATCCTTCCTCCCGGCGCAGGCGAACCTGTAGCCACGTCAGCACCGCCACCTCACGACACGTCATCAGAGCCACAATCATCGTCAGCCTCCTCCACCTCTTCTTCTTCCACCACATCGCAATCTCACTCCGATCAAAGCCACGAAGTGCTGGCAGTGCCAGCGGTGCGCCACCTGGCGAGGACGCACGGGATCAACCTGGCTGACGTGGAGGGCACGGGCCGGGACGGGCGCGTGACTAAAGAGGATGTGCTTGCATACGTGCAGTCACGGCAAGGCGTGGAGGAGGAGATGAGGATGGAAGAACATGTGCTGGAAGGACCAGAACCAGCCATGGCTGAACCAGGGGGGCTAGGAGCAGCAGCAGCAGGAGGAGGAGGAGGAGGAGCAGGAGGAAAGGGAGGAGTGCTGGTTGGAGGGGGGGTGGAGGCTGGGGCAGGAGAGGCGGTGGGGCGGATGGGTGTTGCTGCTGCTGCTGTTGGTGTGCAAGGAGAGGGTGTGGGCGCGGGTGCGTGTGCGAGAGCACGCGTTGAAGACTCTAACGACATCCTGCTGCCAATGCGGTGAGATGGTCGGGGCGTGTGGTGACGTAGATGTATTGAAAAAAGCATGGAAGGAATGGGATTAACAGACTAAATACTGTGTTAGTGGGCAATACATGGCACTGCGTGCATTCCAGTGGGAAGCCACAATCGGTCCAACGTCAACACCACACATACTCGAGAAAGCATTAAATCCCTCTGCGAAATGTCTCTATCGCCCACGCTCCGCTCCTACCCACTCGCTGGACTCTCCGCTCTTCCCCCATGCGCCCCCGCCTCCCTGCCTCATTGCACCTCCTGATCCTCCCCCTCAACGTGATAACGCGTTTTGACCCGTTCCAATACTCCCCTGCTCAGCTTCGCCTCCTCATCTCCCTCATATCCTCATCTTTCCACCACCCCATCTTCCAATCCCCCCCATGCAGAGGGTACCGGAGGGCCATGGCGAGGGCAATGGCAGCAGCGCTGGCAGTGCCGCACTTCACCTTCATGGACGAGGTCGCCATGGATGCTGCTCTCTCCCTGCGCTCCCAGCTCAACTCCGCCTCCTCCTCTGCTGCTGCCTCTGCCGCTGCTGCTGCTGCTGCCAGTGCCGGTGGTGGTGGTTCTGCTGCTAAGCCTGCTGCAGCTGACAAGGCAGGAGGAGCGGCGGCGGTGCGGTTGACGCATCTGCCGATTCTGGTGAAGGCTCTGTCGGTAGCGCTGCACGACTACCCCACGCTCAACAGCACTCTCGATGACGCTTCCATGAACCACCTCCGCTGCAAACGTAAGACGCCCCTGCTGCTGCTGCTGCTGCTGCTGGCACTGACGCTACCCCACATCCAGCTGTTAACGCTTTTGCTTCCAGGGCTGTTCGACCTAAGTTTTAACATCTTTTGATGCCTATGTTTCGCCCTTGTCATCCCTCCCCACACATCCTCCCACGTGTGAGCATGCAGGAGCGCACAACATTGGAATTGCCATGGCAACGCCATCAGGCCTCGTGGTTCCCAATGTCAAGAACTGCCAGAGCAAGTCCATTCCCCAGGTAGGTATACCGCCGCCCATTTTTCAAGAGCTCTAACTTTTTTCTGCAAGTATGTTTTACGCACGCTAGTTGACGCCATTCCAAGCTGCGAACGGTATTTCTAACGTCTAAGCCCTTTTGACTTCGGCCCACTTGCCTCCCATTCCTTAACGTCTTCCGGCGCCTCCTCCACCAATCAGATCGCAGAGGACATTGCCCGACTGCGCCGCCTGGCGCTGCTGAACCAGCTGCCCAATGAGGACGTGACAGGTGGCACCATCTCCATCTCCAACATCGGCAGCATCGGTGGCACGTACGCCACGCCCCTGGTGCATCTGCCAGAGGTGGCCATAGTGGCGCTGGGCCGTGTGCACACCGTGCCCCGCTTCGATTCCTGTGGGAACGTGGTTCCGGTGGCATTCATGAATGTACGTGGGGCGGTGTGGTGGGGTGGGGTGTGGTGGGGTGAGGTGGGGTGGGGTGGGGTGCCATGAATGGCGCAATCATCGACGCCGCTGGTTCATCTGCCAGAGGTGGCTATCGTGGCTCAGGGCCGCGTGCACACCGTGCCTCGATTCGATGCCCATGGGAACGTGGTGCCTGTGGCACTCATGAATGTACGTGGTGTGGTGCAATGGGATGGGTGCGGTGGGGGGGGGGGGGGGGGGGGGTTGGGGTGTGGTGTGGTGGCATGGGTGGCGTAGTGGTGCGGTGGAGTGATCAAGTGTGGGTGTGTGGTTGTAAACACAGGGCGAGGCTTGGCATGGCGTGGCATCCTCTAACAGACATTTGGTCTTCACCTACCGACAATGTCTCCAACCCCTTCCCCTCCTGTGTGTCCCTTGTGTATCTTTCTTTCACATCGCCCAATACTCTTCTGAACCCCATCTGTGTAAGCCATGCCATGACGGACTGCCCGTCTTGCTGTGGTCCCCTTGCCCCAACCCTCTGAGATTCTTCCACCCACTGTGACCTTCACTCAACTGACACCCCCCCTGCCCCTGCACCCCTCTGCAACCCTGTCACCCCACTGACACCCCTGCGCCGCCCCCCACAGGTGAGCTGGTCAGCGGACCATCGGGTTATTGACGGTGCCACGCTAGCTGCCTTCTCCTCGCACTGGAAGTCCTTTATTGAGTGCCCCACCAACCTGCTGCTGCACCTCATGTAGACTGTAGATGGAGAGCGTACATGGCAAGTCTTAATGGGGCTGTATATAGGCTGTGCTTGTGGCGCTATTTCTGAGCTTGCACTGTGTGTAGGTATGTGTACAGTCTTTTTTCCTGTAAATATTTGTCATTTCTTTTTGCTTTCAAGCCTCATATGGATGGTGGTAAAACCTCGAATGCACCATAGTATCCCCGCCCTTGGCCATCTTCGGATAGGTATGTGCTCCATCATTGATTCACTGTCAGGCTGTCGTGCAAAGAATACGAGCAATAAAGCAATCAAGCTAACAAGCAAGCAAGGTTTTCACGGCGCACAAGTCAAGCAGCCATAACTCCCTCCCAGCAAGCCACTAGGACGGGCAAGGCAGGCGAATACGTAAGACCACAGCCCGGCAGCAGACAACCTAAGCCAAGTTAACCAAGCCACACAAATACGGTAACATATACGGTACCATCAAATACGGTAGTGGGGTGGGGACCTAGCATTACTCTGTAATGAAGAGTGACGACGCCACCAAACACCGATCACTGGGCAGTAGACAATGGAGCACATCGATACCGTTGCTGCCTGCCATGTTGACAAACGGGGGGACCGTTGGTCCTTCGCTGAATACCCACCCACAGTGCAACCATAACTGCCCCCCACCAACCTGGACTCACAAAGTTAGCGAACAACGGAATCTGTGAACTAGGGAAACAAGGGATACAAATAGCAACCCTAAAAGTGTTGTACTCCCTAGAGTGCTACTCACTGTAGCCTAAGAACCTATAATAACATTTGACACACCCCCATAGGCTAAGTGAGGGGCATCAAAGCAAGCAGGGTGAACAAACGGTCACAAGACCAGTCAATGCAAGAAGCAAAGCAAGCTCAGGGTGGATCTCAAGGACACCACACAAATTCCGAGCACAAGCAAGCGGCCACAAGGCCAGTTCAAGAGTTCACTAGGATATATATAGCAAAGCACAACAAGCAGAGCAAACAGCAAGTCTACAGCAACCGAGGGCCTACCTCAACAAGCCCCAACTGCACACAGAACCTGTGGTGGTCACCAAGCGCTAGGGCCTTGGTGAAGACGTCTGCAGTGTTGGCCTCTGAGGCCACAAAGTCCAGGCGTGCCTGGCCGCGTCGCTGCAGCTCTCGCAGAAGGAAGTACCTCACGTCAATATGCTTCACTCTGCTCTCCAGTCGAGGCTCTCGACAGAGGAGGATCATGGCCTTGTTGTCAGCGTACAAGGTCGGTGCAGAGCGAGGCCGCTCACCAAGGTCGGTGAGCAAGAAGGTCAACCAGCGAAGCTCCTGTGCCGCCATGGCACCAGCGTAGATCTCTGCCTCTGCACTGGAAGTAGCCACAGACGACGACCGTGTAGACCTCCACGACATAGCACCAGCACCCAGACTAAAGCAGTAACCCTGAGTCGAGCGCTGAGTCTCCACGTCGTCAGCGTAGGAAGAGTCGCAGTGACCAGTCAACGCCACTGGCTGAGTCCCTCCAAGCACAAGCCCCATGCCTGATGTAGTCGCCAGGTACTTCGCCACCCTCACAGCAGCTGTCCAGTGGACAGGACGGTGTCTCCCAGTCGCAACAAAGCGAGAAAGTATGCTGAGGGGAAAGGCGAGGTCCGGCCGAGTACAAGTCATCAGGTACATGAGGCAGCCCACCAGCTCTGCGTAGGGACCACTGGACTCAAAGGCTCGTCGGGAAAGGGGCCAGTGAGTCTGTGGTCAACAGCAAGAGGTGTGGGCTGTGTGGTGGAGAACTGGAAGTCGAACCGCCGAAGGACCTGCTGCACCATGTGTGACTGAGTCAGTGTGATGGTGCGAGTGGCTCTGTCCCTGGTGATCTGCAGGCCAAGGTAGCGCTGCAGTTCACCTAGGTCAGTGCACGTGTGTCTCTTCTGCAGTTCGGACTTCACCTGAGCCATAGCTGCCCTGTCTGCTGTGGCAAAGACCAAGTCGTCGACGTACACTAGTATAAAGAAAGGAGTGGAACCAGTGCGAACAAACAGCGACGGGTCGGCAGAGGAAGGACAAAACCCAAGGTCACGAAGCGTGGAGCGAAGAGTGTCGTGCCACTCACGGGGTGACTGGCGGAGACCGTAGACTGGCCGTCTCAGGCTCCACTGGGTCCCAGGTGGGAAGGTGTTAGTGAAGCCAGGAGGGCGGCGCAGCCAGATCTCCTCGTGTAGTCGGCCCTGAAGAAACGCAGTAGAGAATTCAAGGGAGTGCAGCTCGTAGTCTCGCTGTGCTGCTACGTGTAGTAACACACGAAGAGTAGTCATCTTCGGGGTCGGGGCGAAGGTCTGGAAGAAGTCAACTCCCTCACGCTGACTGAAACCCCTAGCCACGTAGCGCGCCTTGAACACAGGTGGTGAACCAGGCGGCCGCTTCACCTTGAAGAGCCACATGCCATCGACTACGTTCGCCCTGGGAGGGGGGACTGCGTCGACGTAGGTGCCTGTGGATCTCCAAGACGCTAACTCCGAGGCCATAGCCGCTTTCCACTGTGAGGCCCACGCCCCTGACACTGCCTCGCGGTAAGTGCGAGGAGTCGGTATGTCAAGGGCGTCGGGGTCTCCCTCAGGGGATAGCAGCATGGCACAGACAGAGGGAGAAGCGGCTGCCCAGTACTCCAGCTCAGACTCTCTGTCCTCTAGGACGTCACAGCCAAGGGCAAACCCACCCCCGACGGACAGAGAACGGGAGGGAGGAGCTGGCACCACACGGGTGGTGTAGTCAAGGCGACTGGCGGCAGCAAACTCAGCGACAGCGGCAGTGAGAGCCGATACAGACGACGGAGGGAAACGAGAGTCGGTGACAAGAGTGGCGAGGACACGAGAGACAACAGGACGAACAGCGCGGTAGTAGTCAGTGACAGGAGTAGGGGGGAAAGGGAGAGAGGACGGAGGCGGAGACGGGAGAACGGACTCAGGAGGAGGACGACGAAGAGACGAACAAAGGAGGGCAGTGCGGAGGTCGGTAACGGGAGACGAGTGACGAGCACGCGGAGGACAGGGACGGACACGAGAGTGCGGGACACCAGGTGGAGGACACTGCGGTGGAGGAGAAGACCAGACCGCCGGACTGGCGTCAGGAGGAGGAAACGTGGGACCAAACGCTGGAGGGGACGGAGTGTGAACAGGAGGAGAGGAGGGAAGACCAAGGGCCCGAAGGCCACTCACGGGTGGGAACAACTGCCGCTCCAGAGGGAGCTGCTGTGGTCGCAGCTGCGGCGGCGGTGTCTGCTGCTGCTGCGGCTGCTGCTGCTGCTGCTGCTGCTGCTGCTGCTGCTGCTGCTGCTGCTGCTGCTGCTGCTGCTGCTGCTGCTGCTGCTGCTGCTGCTGCTGCTGCTGCTGCTCCAGCAGGTCCAACTGCCGCAACTCCTGCCGCTCCCTCTCCAACAGCACCTGCTCCTCACGCTCACGCCGACGGGCCGCCTGGAGACGTGTGTCGTGGCGGTGGGGAGGCGGAGTCGACTCTGCAGAACTAGTGTCTCCAGCTCCAGTCTCCTCAGAACCAGCACCTCCAGTGCCAGCGCCTCCAGCACCAGCACCCCCAGAACCAGCACCCCCAGGACCAGCACCCCCAGAACCAGCACCTCCTGTGCCAGCACCTCCAGCTCCAGCACCCCCAGAACTAGCACCTCCAGTGCCAGCACCTCCAACTCCAGCACCCCCAGAGCTAGCGCCTCCAGTGCCAGCACCTCCAGCTCCAGCACCCCCAGAGCTAGCGCCACCTGCGCCAGCACCTCCAGCTCCAGCACCCCCAGGACTAGCACCTCCAGTGCCAGGACCTCCAGCTCCAGCACCCCCAGGGCTAGCGCCACCTGCGCCAGCACCTCCAACTCCAGCACCCCTCAAACGAGCACCCCCGGACCGAGTACCGCCAGTGGCTGCACCTCCAGCTCCAAAACCAACCGAGTCCACAGTAGCCTGACGCGGAAGTACCGAAGGCTGCTGAGGGGACTGTGAGGAGGACTGCGGGGAGGGAGCCGCCACCTGACGCGCGACCGAGGGTAGAGGGGTAGCGTGAGACACACCTGACGGGGCAGGACCAGGGGGGGGTGGGGGTACCGGAGGAGCGGGAGCAGGAGGAAGAGAGGGTGCGAGGAAAAGGGGGGGAAGGGGAACCGGGAGACCTCGACAGGGGTACCGGGTGTAGTATGACACTGACTCGTCGAACCGGACGTCACGGGAGTCTAGGAACTGGTGGAGGGGCGGGTGGTAAAAGGACCAGTCGGCCGAGGCTACTGGGAAACCAAGGAAGACACAGGGGACGGCGCGAGCCGAGAGCTTGTCCGCAGAGGTGTCGCGGACAAGCGCAAGGCAGCCCCAGACACGAAAAGCTGACCCAATACCAGGGGACCCGGTCCAAAGACTGGTCGGTGAAGCCTCTGGCCGCGAGACGCGCGGCTGGAGGTTCAGCTGGTGAGCGGCGTAGCGAACCGCGTAGGGCCACAGAAAATGGGGCGCACGGGCATGAATCATGGACGTGCGGGCGATGTCCATGACCAAGCCAATGCGGCGCTCAGCAACCCCATTCTGCTGTGGGGACTCCGGCAGCGTCCAGGACTGTACGATGCCCTGCTCGTCGCAGAATCCGGCAAGAATGCCTGAGCGAAACTCACCCCCACGGTCAGAGTAGAGACAGGAGACACGACGGCCACGAGTGCCCTCAGTGGCTAGAAGCCACCGGATCAGCGTAGAAGTCACCTCTGACTTCTTCGCGAGAGGAAACACCGTGGTGTACCTGGAGAAGTCGCCGACAACCACCAGAAAGTAGCGCTCCCTCTCAGGTCCCTGCGTAGGTGCAGGGCCCCAGACATCCAAGTGGAGTGTCTGGAAGGGAGCAGTGGCCGGACGAAGGGAGGAGGAGTGCGGAGTGGCACGAAGACGGCCGGCGACGCAAGGAGTGCACGGCGGCGCAGGTGAGGGAGGGAGCGACGGGAAGACGCGAAGGAGACCAGAGACAAGACGGTGACTAGCCATAGTGCGGAGGCGGGGGATCGACGCGTGGCCAAGACGGTGGTGCCACAAGACGGTCCGGTGGGTGAAAGACCGACACGAGCAAGACGCAGCAACTAGACCGGACACAGCAACCTGACCGGACACAGCAACCTGACCGGACACAGCAACCGGTGGGGACGCAGTAACCTGACCGGACTCTGCTACCGGGGGGGACGAAGCAACCTGACCAGACGCAGCTACCTGCGGGGGCGGAGTGTACAGGACGAAGAGACCTGAGTGGGGCTCTCTAGTGAACGTGGCAAGAACTGCCCCGGTGGAAGAGTCCGTACAGATCGCAGTCCTCCCATGCGCAGGAAAAGTGACTGTGATCCCCTGGTCCTGAAGGTATCCAACACCCACCAAGTTCCGAGAGAACGAGGGGATGTAGAGACCAGTGAGGAAACCAGAGGGGACAGCTGGGCACGGGAGGGTGGTCGAGCTGCGAGCAACGGCTGGTCCTGAAGTAGGATCAGCCAGGGCAACTGGGACTGGAGCCGAAAGAGGTCTGACAGTGGTGTGGTCGCGGGAGAAGCACTGAGACGCGCCGGAGTCCAGCGTGAAGGAGAGCGACGCAACAGCAGTCGTCACGGCCGGGCTAGTGACTACACAATCACCTACACTAAAAGCACAAGTACCGACACTAGCAACAGGCAAAGGTCCTAAGCTAGGTACACGTAAGCCAAGAGATCTGTACGTGACAGAATAAACAGCATTCATAGACATATCAAACACAGGGTAACCACTACGAAACAGACCGGGCCAGATCGGGGGAGCCGACTCAGGCCCAAAACGCTCACGGTAAAGGTCGTCGAGGCGGCTGTAGCAGCGCTGTGCAGAGTGGTCAGGACGCCAGCAGGTAGTGCCAGCACCAGGGCCGGTCAGGATCCGGTACTGGCAGGGGCCGACGTCGCGGCCACCGCGACGAGCCCCCCAGCTGGCTGGGCCGCTGCTGCAGCCAGCGCGACCTGAACCACCAGGCCCCCACGGCTGCTGAGGGCGCCACAGCTGCTGAGGGCGCCCCTGCTGCTGCGGAAGCCACTGCTGAAACGGCCGCTGCTGTTGTCCCTGCTGCTGGAGAACCCTAGTGGACTCCATGATAAAAGCTAGCGGGGTGCAGGAGCGGCAGGCTAGGAGCGACAGGAGCTAAGGACGGCTGCAGTGAAAAACGAGAACAACTAGGAGCGCCAGGTGAAACTAGGCGAGTAACTGCTGGAGCACGGAGCGAACTAAGCTAGGAGCGCCCGGTGAAACTAGGCGAGGAACGGCTGGAGCACGGAGCAAACTGAGCTACGAGCGAGGAGCGAGAACGGCTGGAGCGAGAACGGCTGGAGCGAGAACGGCTGGAGCTAGAACGGCTGGAGCGAGAAACGGCGAGCTAGGGCTGGCTGGAGGTAGGAACGGCCGGAGCTAGAGACCGTAAGTGCGGCTGTCGGCTGCCGCTAGTAGAGCCACTGGCAGTGGAACGTACGTGCGACAGTAGGGGCTGCATTACTGACGGCTGCGGGATGCAGGCAACTGTGCAGGTCGTCCGGCAAGCAGGAACGCGGGCGACAGTTGCAGGCCCCCACCTTAAACCCTTTTTTTTTGTTTTTTTGTTTTTTTTTTTGGTTTTTTTTTTTTTTTTGGGTTTGATTTTTATTTATTTATTTATTTTCTGGCGCGAAAGCGCTCCGGGGTGCGCTGCCTGCAGGGTGTGTTGCCTGCGGGGCGCGCTACCCGCGGGGCGCGCCGCCTGCGGGGCGCGCTACCCGCGGGGCGCGCTACCCGCGCGGTGCGCTGCCTGCGGGGCTGGGGCGACGGGCCAGGGCGCGAGCTGGGGCGACGGGCTAGGGCGCGGGCTGGGGCGACGGGCTAGGGCGCGGGCTGGGGCGACGGGCCAGGGCGCGGGCTGGGGCGACGGGCTAGGGCGCGGGCCTGGGCGACGGGCTAGGGCGTGGGCCTGGGCGACGGGCGAGGGCGGGCGCCTGGGCGACGGGCTAGGGCGGGCGCCTGGGCGACGGGCTAGGGTGGGCGCCTAGGCGACGGGCTAGGGCGGGCGCCTGGGCGACGGGCTAGGGCGGGCGCCTGGGCGACGGGCTAGGGCGGGCGCCTGGGCGTCGGGCTAGGGCGTGGGCCTGGGCGTCGGGCTAGGGCGTGGGCCTGGGCCTGGGCGACGGGCTAGGGGCGCAGGCTAGGGGCGCGGAGGGCGCTAACGCGCGGAGGAGGAGGGCGCTAAGGCGCGGAGATGGCGCGGAGGGCGCGGAGGCTAAGGCGCGGAGGGCGCGGAGGGCGCGGAGGGCGCGGAGGGCGCTAGGGCGCGGAGGCGCTATGGCGCGAGCAAGGCTAGGCTAGGCGAGAGGATCGACACCTACTCATGATACCATCACAAAGGTAGCGAACAACGGAATCTGTGAACTAGGGAAACAAGGGATACAAATAGCAACCCTAAAAGTGTTGTACTCCCTAGAGTGCTACTCACTGTAGCCTAAGAACCTATAATAACATTTGACATGGACCATCAAAGGATGACGCAAGTGGTAGGCTCAAAGGATTGCTGCCCCAATCCCAAATCCCAAATCTCTGCCCCATCAAGTCATGTACGTTACGTTCCTCCTCCTCCTTCCATCACCACCACCACCACCACCACCACCACGACCCACCACGATAGCACGCACAATGACCACAGACACAGGCAAGAGATGTAGAGTAGAGTAAAGTAGAGTAGAGTAGAGATGGATGCTACTCCACCGTCTCCCCCGATCACCGTATGCCCCCGTCCCGTACAGTACTTGCAGAGAGACGGCTTTGAGGTGTCTCGTCTCGAGTGTATCAAGGCAGTAATCATGGAGGCAGGTGTTACTTGAGTGTCTTTACGGTCATCGTACACTCACGGTACGATGATGAGTATGCATGATACAGGAACAGGCGCATTGAAGAGAGTCTTGGTTTCGCTGCTTTGGCAGCGAATCAATTCGTTTCTTCCCGAACCTCCAGAGAATCAGCAAGCACTCAAAGCAGCATTGCTCGCCTTCTCTCCTCCCTCTCCCTCTCCCTCCAGCGTTGCCCCTAGGGTTTAAAGCCTGCCATTGCTAGACCAAACTGATGCATTGATTGCATCACCTGCAATGGGACGACTTTCTAGTGCTCCGTGACTCAACTCAACTAGCGTATGGCTTACAAAGCGTAGAAGTAAGCCATATTAATCAAAAACCAGCCCGCCACAAACCATGCCTACTGCTGCTACTGCTGCTGCTGCTGCTGCTGCCACTATGTGTCGCCCCCATTGCCGCCGTTGCCAGTGCTGCCAGCAATACCACTGCCAGTGTGACTACTGGTGCTGTCACCTAGTCTGCCTGTGGCAAGTGAACGAGCAGCAAGGCTCATGGAAGGAGGCTTCTGCCCCTGCTTGCGGTTCAGGCACAAAGGCCCACCTGATGCACTACTGACACTGCTGCTGCTGCTGCTGCTGCTGCTGCTGCTGCCTGTGGAGGCAGAGGGAGATGCGCTTTCCACAGACCAGAGAAAGGATGCATATGCTGCCAACACATAGCTGAGGTGGAGAGCGGCCGGGAGAGTGGACGGGGCAAGTGGAGGGGGAAGGGAGAAAGTGAATCGACTAAACAATCATCTCCTGCACGCACCACTCATGAGGTGCCACTTGCATACCATGGTCAAACGCTTCACATATAAAGCACACCAGGCATGAGGCGCCTTAGAAATCAACTCATGGCATGGCACGCACCAGCCACGAGGCGCCACTTCCACAGCATGGTCAAAGAGGGCCAGAGCATGCTCGCTGTGTGATGAGACAAATGTTTGAGTAAACTGACTATCATCTCGTGCCCTGCACGTACCAGTCATGAGGCGCCACTTCCACAGCATGGTCAAAGAGGGCCAGAGCACGCTCGCCGTCACGCCACCCCTCCCACACCGCCTTAGCCCACAGCACCAGCACCTCCCCCTCCTCCACCCCTGTCACCCCCTTCACTCCTGTGGCTCCTTTCGCTCCTTTCACTCCTTTCAACCCCTTCAGCCCCCCGCTGTTTGTGGGGCTGCTAGGGCTCTGATCCATTCCTGCTGCCCGTCCTTTCACACGCGCCCGCCCCTCTGCTTGGCTGGCTGCAACTGCCCGCCGGAACATTTCGTCTGCCCGATGATAGTCCTTGATCTGGAGGATCAGGAGGGTACAGATGGAGAGGAGGGACGTTGTAGGGAGCAGGAAGTAAAGCAGCAGCGAATTTGAGGGGAGGAAGGAGGACGAGGAGAGTGATAGTGGGGTGCGGAACATCAGCACAAAAAAAAAAAAAAAAAAAAAAAGCATACAAACGCTAGGGCACACACCTCACAGAGGAAGCGGGCATAGTCGCAGAGCAACAGAGCGTTGATGGGATCGGTCTTTGAGTCGACTCAAAAACAGACTCATCACACGCGGTACAAACGCCACGGCAGGGCACAGCAGCAGCACAGCGCACCTCACAGAGGAAGCGCGCGTAGTCGCAGAGCAAGAGAGCGTTGGTGGGATCGTCTTTTGAGACGTCTCAAAAGCACACCTCACCTCACAGAGGAAGCGCGCGTAGTCGCAGAGCAAGAGAGCGTTGGTGGGATCGTCTTTTGAGACGTCTCAAAAGCACACCTCACCTCACAGAGGAAGCGGGCATAGTCGCAGAGCAAGAGAGCGTTGGTGGGATCGTCTTTTGAGACGTCTCAAAAGCACACCTCACCTCACAGAGGAAGCGGGCGTAGTCGCAGAGCAAGAGAGCGTTGGTGGGATCGTCTTTTGAGACGTCTCAAAAGCACACCTCACCTCACAGAGGAAGCGCGCGTAGTTGCAGAGCAAGAGAGCGTTGGTGGGATCGTCTTTTGAGACGTCTCAAAAGCACACCTCACCTCACAGAGGAAGCGCGCGTAGTCGCAGAGCAAGAGAGCGTTGGTGGGATCGTCTTTTGAGACGTCTCAAAAGCACACCTCACCTCACAGAGGAAGCGCGCGTAGTCGCAGAGCAAGAGAGCGTTGGTGGGATCGTCTTTTGAGACGTCTCAAAAGCACACCTCACCTCACAGAGGAAGCGGGCATAGTCGCAGAGCAAGAGAGCGTTGGTGGGATCGTCTTTTGAGACGTCTCAAAAGCACACCTCACCTCACAGAGGAAGCGCGCGTAGTCGCAGAGCAAGAGAGCGTTGGTGGGATCGTCTTTTGAGACGTCTCAAAAGCACACCTCACCTCACAGAGGAAGCGCGCGTAGTCGCAGAGCAAGAGAGCGTTGGTGGGATCGTCTTTTGAGACGTCTCAAAAGCACACCTCACCTCACAGAGGAAGCAGGCATAGTCGCAGAGCAAGAGAGCGTTGGTGGGATCGTCTTTTGAGACGTCTCAAAAGCACACCTCACCTCACAGAGGAAGCGCGCGTAGTCGCAGAGCAACAGAGCGTTGGTGGGATCTCTGCGCACAGCCCGTGAGTACTGCTCGTCCTCCTCCTCTACACTCGCTGCTGCTCTCCCCCCCACTGCCGGCCCCTCCAATGTTGTCCCACCACGCACCGCTGCTCCCTCTTCACCTCCCCTTCTCTCTTTCCCTCCTCCTTCCCTCTCGCTATCTCCTCCTCTCCTCTCGCTGTCCAGACCCACACCAGCGCTGAGATTTGTAAAAGAGGATTTTCCGCTGCGTCTACTACTTTCCCTCTCGTCCCTCCCGTACCTCTCATCCCTTTTGTTCCTCTCGTCTCTCTCTTTCCTAGCGTTACTCCCTTCCCTAGCCTCCCCACCATCTCTCCCCTCTGCCGTCTTTCTCCCATTCGTAATCCCACCGTGGTCCCAACCAGACCTTGCCCCACGCTCATCCTCCCTTCTTTCAAACTCCATTATCGCCTCTCCACCCCCTTCCACCACCGCCAATCCATTTTCACCCTTCCCAACCGGCCTCCTCTCCCTTTCCCCCTCGCCTCCCCCTCCCACACCCCCGCCATCCTCAGCCTCTCCCCCCACCACCCCCCCTTCTCCCCATACACTTTCCCCAACATCTCCCCCCCAAATCTCCCCCACTCCGCCCATGCCCAACCCAGCGTCTCCCCCCTCCATTTCCCCCACGCCCCCCCCTTCCGCAAGCCTGCCCGCGCCGTTGGGCAGCTGCGAAAGGCTCTGGGGCAGCCCGTGCCGGTCCACAAAACTTTCGTCTACCCGCACGGGGCGGCATCCCCTGGCATTACAGACGACAGACATGCCATTAGCGCCCACATCAACGCTCGTGAATCCCTCGCCATCCTCTGCTCGAAACAGGTACTGCCCCGGCCCCTTGCCCTTCACCACTCGCCCTGCACACACCGACCCCACGCCTGCTGCACCCCCCGACATGCCATCCTCTGCCATACCTCCTCCTCCTCCTCCTCCTGCTGCTGCTGCTGCTGCAGCCGTTGCGGATGCTTCAGGAGGCGTGCTAAGGTCATCCATGGCTGCTGTCTCGCCTGAAGCAGGCGCTTCAGCTGAAGCGACTGCCTGCCACACACCAGGACCCCTCTCACTGCTGCTGCCTCCTACAGCCTCTCCCCCCTCCTCTTCCCCCTCCTCCTCTCCCTCCCCCCCTCCCTCGACCTCTTCCTCCTGCTGCTGCTGCTGCCGCTGCTGCGCACCCTGCAGGCCTGCACTGCCATCAATCTGCGCACCTCCCTGGGAAACTCCCCGCACATTATATTTCGCCTTGCTCAAATGCGGAGCCTCCGCATCGACCACTAGCCCCCCTGCGCCATTCCCCTCCTCCCCCCTCGCACCTCCGCCCTCCGCCTCCCTCTCTGCGCCGCCTCTCCCCCCTCCAATCTCCGCCACCCCACCCCACCGTGCCCCTCGGTTCGCCCTACCCGCAAATATATTCCCCGGGGCAATCCCCGCGGCAGCGCATTCAACCGACTCAGAAGCATCAGCAGCACGGATAATACCAGCACCCCCTGCGCGTGTCCGTGCCAACCCTCCGCCTCTGCTGCTAGACACAGCGCCTGTCACGGGCCTTCCTTCTCTCGCCTTGCTCGCACCTTCCCAGTGCCTATCCTGCTCTCTCCCTCCTTTCCTCTCTCCCCCTATCGTCCTCTCCTCCCCCGTCGCCCTCCTCCCCTTGCCTCTCCTCCTCCGTCTTTTTCCAACCACCACCGACTCGTTCGGGGAAACTTCTCGCTCCGCACCTACCGTCGCAGCTCCCGCCGCAGATCCCGCCGGGATGTCCGCGCGCTGAATAGGGCACACGAGGGTGCGCCGTACGATGACGTAGTTGGGTCCCTGCAGATCTAACCCCTCCACGCGCCACGGGTCGTGCATCACGTCTAATACTACCGAGCCTAACGCTTCTTCACCCGCTGCTGCGCCTAACGCCCCGCGCGAAACGCCAAACGCCTCGCCGGAACCGTCAATCGAACCGTCGACTGAAACGTCGACGGAAGCGTCGTCTAGCAGCTGAGAAACACGATCTGATTCGTGCGGTACCGTGCTCGTGCTCGTGCTCGTGCTCGCAGTCCCGTGCGCCATGGTATCCGTCGTCGACTTCCGCGGCGCCTCAAAGGGTATCGTCCTCGCAGTCTCACAGGCCATGGTGTCTTCGAGCTGTACCAGCGTTTGCGCCGTCACGACGAAATCCGTGTCAAATACCGACATGGGCGCATCAATCTCGACTGCCACATCGGAAACATCACCATCACCAACATCATCACCATTACCATCGCGATGACCATCATCATCGCCGTCTGCTGCAGCGCCGCGACTGGTGTTGGTTTCTGTTCGCCGCGGCTCGCTCGCCGCGTTCTGCGGGGGCCTAAGGCCACGAGCTGCCGTTTCAACGCCACTAAAACTTCCACTCGCTGCGGCGCCAGCGGCAGAGGCGGAGCTCGTTTCCAAAACGGCGCCGCCGTTAGCGGCGCCACTAGCGCTAGCGGCGCCTCCGCTGGCGGCTGCAGCAGGGGCGCAGGCGTCACTGCTGCTGCTGCTGCTGCTGCTACTGCTGCTCTCCGCCCTCCTCGCATCGCTATCGCCATCGCCGCTCGTCACGGCGGCGCCAGAGCTGCTGCCGCCATTGCCGCTTCGTCGCCTATTACACGACGACAGCGGGAATGCCGACCCGCCGCCGCCACTCGCAAGACCGCCGCCTTTTCTCCTACCAGGCTTCCTGTCGTAACCACCCGCAGCCACATACCCGCCGCCGCCGCAGCCGCTCGGCGGCGAACGCGTCGACCCTCCCCCGCCAGCATTGGTATGTAACGAAGACGCTGACAACGGCACCACGGCTGTTGTTTTCACGTTGCGGAAAGCAGCAGCAGATTGGTCGCTTGTGCCGTTGCGCCGACCGTCTTGACGGCCGGTCGGCCGTTTCCCGGCTTTTCCGGAAGGCGAGGACGAGGAGAGCGAAGCGCGTGAGGCGGAAAGCGACGCGGGCGACGCGGACTGCGACGACGCGGAGAGTGCGGGCAGAACAGGTGCGATGTCTGGACGACTCGTCTCGAAGCGTCTGCGAAACGGCTTCAAGTGACGCGAGTCGCGGAGTTCTTCCCGGAAACTGGCTTCCGGGGGAAAATGGAGCGAGAGCGGGCGCGCCACGGGTGCAGCCATGGACGCTGCGAGGGGGAGGATAGCGGGTGTCGCCGATGATTAAAGCCAAAGCAAGCCAACGCGGGTGTCGTTTCCCGCTCCTCCCTCCTCTCGCAACACCCTCTCTTCCAACTGCTCCTTAGTAACCAGTGACCGCTAGCTGCTATCTGTTATGTCTGCTTCAGCGACTCGCTTCGTTCTTTGTTTTCCTTCTGGCCGAATGCTTGAGCTATATCTACTGCAACGACGAATCGCTTCAAGGCGGCTCAACGACGAGCCTAAGGCCGCCAGGGTGCGGAGTAATAGCCGCAATTCACGACAGGCGCATACTCAACTGTGATAAAAACACATGAACGGTCTGCGGTTGAAGGGAATACCGAAAATAAAAAAGAAGGAACTGTCGCCGAAGAGCTTGGGATGCCGTTGGTCCCCTCTGTTCAGTGGCAGGGACTACTGCGAAGGCATCCTAGGCTAACTTAGGGAGCTAAGAGAGCAGGTGAGGAGGGAGCGGGTAGACCAATCCACTAGAGGAGGAGAGGAGGAACTGTTGGGTCTTGAGGTTCTGTTGCGAATGAATGGGGACGAAATTCCGGCAACAGTGCCAGAAACGGAAGCAGGGAAGAGCAGAGAGGCTATGTGCTGCTCGCAGGGACAGACGACGACGCGCACCAAACCAAGATCGTAATGCGTAAAAGCAGAACTGGAGGACGGAGCAGAAAAACACTCTCATAGAGTTGTTTGTAGCTCTCCAACCTTTCCTAGCGTTTCAATTGAGAGCAAGGCTAGTGCTGTATCCATCCACACCTCACACCCTAGCACTGCCCGAAAACTATACCTGCGCTTTCCTTGGAATTTGCAGGGTATTCGTTTGGTAGTGGGGACTGTAAACTCGGCTGCTACCATAGACGTTTTGAACGCTCTCTCGAATATCTGCACATCCGTCACAAAATAGGTCAATCCGTCACGATCCCATCCCAACCAAGAATAGACTAGTCGACACGTGACTTTGCAGCGGAATGTCGTCAGTCTTTCCCTCCAAATTTCATCGTCAGGGTGCCCTGGAAAATCTTGGAAAATCGCGAAGGTTCGGGACCAGAGAACAGATTTGGACAGGCGAAGACGGGAAACCACGTACGCGAAATTCTGCGAAGGACGTCACGATCAAAGCGGCTCTCCCGCAGATGTGCCCACCTGCTTGGAACAAAAAAATATCCATGGTACTGTACGCCACAAGCTCAAGCGCCCTCAGGCCAAAGCTGGCGACGATGACGACATAAACCACAACTAGAGAACTCTGTAACATGAAACTACATTAACTAGAATCTTAATAGTAGAGAGCCTTTACACACACTGCCACTTCAAGGGAAACATGTACGGTATTATGGACTCTTCAGCTTAACAACATACGGTACAAGGAACAGAAGTGATGGTATAACCTTGGGCAACAGATAAGTGAGACACTAATTTATAGTTCAAGGAGGCGACATGCCGCCCGCACCAGCAGCCCGGACAAAACTTTCCAAGATTGGCCCAACCTGTGAATGCAAGCAAAAAGAGGAGAACAAGGAAACACACACCAAGGCGCGAGCGGAAAAAAAATGCATATAAAGGGGGTGAGGGCGCGCGGAAGAATGTGGGAGGGAGAGCGATAGGGAAGGAAAAATAGACAAAAAGCAGGGAAAACCTTATGTTGAGAGCTCTCGGTACCTCTGCATCATTGAGAAATGTGTAAATGGCATGCGGGTTGTCCTGCATGTCACTGATTGCTGCTCCACACGCACACACAGGGAGGGGGGGATGGAATGGAACGGGAGCAACAGGGGAAGAGACCGCGGAGGACGGACATCAGTCAAGAACAAATCCATAATGAAAACCTACGCAGAACTGATGTGCAGAATCCATGAAAATGCCTAAAGCAACAGCCAGACCCCTCTCCGTCCCCTCTTTTCACCCCATCTCTCTTTCCCCACCCGCTCCTCCCTTTCCTCCCTCCCCTTCTCTTGCAGTTGGCATGAACCCTGTCAAGCCTAAACTCACCATGCCGAACCCGCGGGTTTGTGAGCCCGAGACGAAGCATCTCATTGGCCATGGCCCACAAAGGGGCGCCCTCAACATCCATGGCCTCCTCCTCCCCTCCCTCCCCCCTTCCTACAGTTGGAATAAACCCTGGCAATCATGAACTCACCCTGCCGGACCCGCGGGTTAGTCAGCCCGTGCCGAAGCATCTCATTCGCCATGGCCCACAAAGCAGCCCCCTCAACATCCATGGCCTCCTCCTCCCCTCCCTCCCCACCCTCCACCTCAACCACAAAAGGGTCCCGAGCTTCGTGCGGTGGCAGGGAGGCGGAGGAGGAGGAGAGGTGAGACGGAGAGGTTGAGCCGGATGCGCCCATGATGGTCTGGAGGGCCATCATTCGGTTCCACGCACGCACCGACCGCTCATCCTGAAGCCACCACAGGGGACCGGTGGAGACGGGGTAGCGTGGAGCGGAAGGGGGGAGAAGGGGGGGAAGGGGCGAGTACGGATGAGAACGGAGGCGATTCGATGGGCTCACCAAAGTGAAGTGGGAGGACGGACGGATTGGCATGTGCTGTGGCCGCTTTCTTAGGAAACCCGGCCGATTAATAACAGCGAGTGGAATAACCGGAGCATACGTGTGAATGATAGAACTCACCACATGCATGCCTGCAATCTGAGCCCATGCCTCTCTCAACTCAGCAGGCAGGTCCCCCTGTAACGGCGGTTGAGAGTCCCCTAACGTAGCTGCCGGCGCCTCCCCTGTCCCTGCACGCACTCCCTCTTGCACTGCTGCTGCTGCTGCTGCTGCTGCTGCCACACCCATGGGTACACCCGAACCTGCTGCTGCCCCTGCCACTGCCCCTGCTCCTGCTGCTCCTGCTGGTGCTGCTGCTCCCGCCTCGCCACTCACCCCTGAACACATCATCCCTCCACTTGCTGCCACTGCTGAGGAAGAAGGTGGATCCATTTCGGCCGCTTCTCCTGCTGCGACTGCAGGCAGGCCTTCGCTGTTCCCGGCTGCTACCCCAGCCCCCTCACCACCACCACCAGCAGCACCACTGTCAGCTGCACCAGTAGCACCAGCGTCAACTCCTGCACCACCAGCACTTAAAGAGACCCCTGTGCTATCCCCACTGGCAAGACCTCCTGCTGCCGCCCCGCTTCCTCCTTCATCCCCTCCTCCTCCCGCTCCTTCTCCAGCCCCCCCTGCTCCTGCTGCCCCTGCTGCCCCTGCTTCTCCTGCTGCACCTCCCCCACCCCCTTCCCCACCCCGTCCCCCCGGCCCAGCAGGTGCAGCAGGCGCATCAGCAGCGGCGGATTCTGCCTGCAGTGCCTGCTCCTCCGCGTCTGGGTTCTCTATCAGCCACTCTATCGCTGCTGCCACGCGGTTGCTGCTCGTGGCACCGGCATGGCAGCAGGCAGCGGCACGGGCAGAGCGGGCAGAAGAGAGGATAGAGAGGAGAAATGGGAATTCAATGTGGGATCAGATCAGCCATGGCATGTATGAGTGAGGTAGTGTTGGAGTGGGGAGAGGCAGGGTGGGATGGGATCGAACCAAGGGTACGTTAGCAGAACGATCATGCAAACCAGTACAGACACCAGATTGCAGATTATCCCAACGCGGTAACCAGGCACCCAGGCTGGCGGACGCATGCATGGGTTGAGAGTGGTGGCAGGCAAGGCCGGGCGAGCGGCCGGGCGGGTGGGCAGGAGGGAGGGAGGAAGGGAGGGAGCACTGACCGGTGCAGCTGCAGGGCATGGCGGGCCATGAGGCGCGGGAATCCCATCTCTGCCAGGCGATCCACCAGCACCGGATCTGCCACCACCCGCACCCGCTGCTGCTAGGGGCGATGGGGGAGGCACGGGGGGTGTGGGGGGGGGGGGACCAGGGGAAAGCATGGGCTTAGTTTTGAGGCGCCTCAAGAACAGACACCAGCACCGGGTCTGCCACCACGCGCACCCGCTGCTTCTGGCCCGGGGAGCGTGGACATGGAGGGGCGAGATGGAAAGGCGAAATGGAGAGGCGAGATGGAGAGGCGAGATGGAGAGGCGAGATGGAGAGGCGAGATGGAGAGGCGAGATGGAGAGGCGAGATGGAGGGGGGGGGGGAGTTGGTGGCCAGAAACGGGTGCCAAATGGGGAGCTGGCAGGAGGACCGTACAGGGAACGTGCGGGGGCGATACAGAACGAGAGAGAACGCGAAGTGGGTGGTGTGTGTGAGAGAGGGAGAGAGTGACAGGCAGGCGAGGCAGGGTAGATCCAGGGGATAGATAGATGGACGAGTGGATCGATCATGGAGGTTGGGTTCGCTATCTGAATGCTTACAGCAGCAGCTATAGCAGCGGCGGCGGCGGCGGCTGTGGTGGTATGCAATCCAAGCCCGGAGGTGGCAGCAGGAGGAGGAGGTAGAGGAACACCTCTCCTCGCGCACTCTGCTTCAATGGCCCGGTCTATGCTCTCCCTCGTCGGAATCGCCTCTGCTGCTGCTGCTGCAGTCTCTGCGGACGAATCAGGAGCTGCCAGCTGGCAAGGTGTTGGGGCCCGGATGCGGGTGATAACAAGAGTGTCTGCATACCGCGGGGAGGGAGGGGGAAAGGGGGGGTTGGGAGGGGGAAGGGGGGGGAAGGGAGGGGGAAGGGGGGGGGGAGGGAGGGGGAAGGGGGGCGGAGGGAGGGAAGGGGGGAGAAGACGAATGGCGCACGAGGGAGGAGAAAGGGAGGGGGATGGCTTGATTCGAGTGCAACGGTTCGGAAGGTAAATGCTGGACTGAAGGGCGGGACTGGATCGGACAGGATGGATGGACGAGAAGCAAGCAAGGCATGTGAAATTGAAAATTCTCCCATGCACACATCAGCACACCACGATGGTCCCTCCACCTAAAACGGTTTTTTTCAGTGAAAGAGAGCTTTGCCTTTCGCGGTTTTTTTTTCTCGGTTGCGTCCTGAAACGAGTCATCACTATGACGTTCCGGGCTTGATTTGATCGACCACTCGCCCCTACACGCCCAAACCCCAACCCCAGCACTGCAACCCCTTTCCCCGCACGCACACCTACCCTGCACACTGTATCACATCACAGTCCATGCTTTTTAACCGCCATTCTCGCCATGCGCACACTCACCGCCACTATCCACACCACACTCTCCAACTGTTAGAAGCTTCGACGAAAGGACCTTTGGCCGACTTCCCCCAACCCCCCCCAGGTAACCGCTCGCTTCCGCCACCTCCTTCACGCTCGTCCGCCTCTCTTGCGCAGATGGCCCCGCGGATTCCCCCGAACGGCCAGCCGCCGGGGGAGCCGCGGAGAAGGGGACGTGGATAAGGCGCACGTCCCGCGCGGGGAGGTTGGGGGGGATGAGACCGCGGGTTTGCAGCTCGGCGCGCAGCTTGTGGATGGTGATGCCACGTGGCACGCGCACGGGCTGCACCGCGCCGTTCAACAGGCGCACGCGCAAATCCATGGTCGATGCCGCCTGCGCCTGCGCCTGCGCTTGCGGCTGCGATTGCGGCTGCGCTTGCACTTGCGCAGTTAGCTGATCGGCGGAGATCTGTTGCGGTGGTGTAGGAGAGGCGGAGGAAGCGGGGAGGTGGGCGTGCGAATGCGGAAAATTCTCCGCATGGTTCGTCATGGCGGGATCGACAACAACGAGCGAGGATGCGTGTGGAACGCGAATCAGACGACGCGACTAAATTTCGCACGAGGCATGCTTCTAACGACCCGTGTCACAGTTCCGTCTCGTGAGGCGTTGAGATCTAGGAAAGGAGGCGCTAAAACCGGTTTCCCATTGTCCAGGGTTATTTAGGTTCTAAAAAGGAATGGTTCGAATAGCGTGCGAGGCAAAGAGGGGAGAGACGGACAACCAATTAACCGGCGGCGGGGACGCGTCGGCTTGTTGGAAAGGAATCATCCGAGCGATTGAGGAGGAGGAGGAGATATGACCCGTTATGTGCCAAAACGAGAAATCCTGCAACAATGAGTGATGCGGGACGGGCTATGCAATATGGTCCAATACTACGGTATGTTGACACGGGACATGCTGCAGTGAACGCGATGCTTGCGGTGCTACATTAGATGGTGCTGACACAAGAACGGCGATGCGTAATGATGACTAGGAATCACGGATAGCTGCTTTGTTCATGGTACTAGGCTCGCTAATCGCCAGCGCCATGCACTGCGACGCGACCTGCCAGTCAGTCAGTCAAGCCCAGTTTGACGGATTGTCCTGTGGGCCAGCAGACAACCCTTGGGATGTACGCGTACGCGTTATGAGTGCGTGTTAGCGAGGACGGATTCGCTGTAGAGGAGTCCACTGAGTCCCAAACAATAAAAATCATCCCTTCGGCATACGAATCATTGCCACGCCCACCCTCCCCCGTACAGTCACAAATTACTCGTGGCGAACTCACGAAGGCTAGCGAACGCTTTGCGGATTTCGCTGTTGACTGTCACCCGAAAAGTAGTGCTGCAGGGTCGGACTTCAGCATAATTTTTTTCTGTAGAGTAGAGCATACAAAAACTGATAAACTACATACATTCAAGGTCTTTCTTTCCAGCGAAGTCGGTTGTATTGTACAGTACATCCACAGCCCAAGCCGCCAACCATTTCCGCCAACTTCCCCCCTCAGTCTCTGGTAACTTCCGTCACGCTTCCGCGCATCAGCTCCGCTCCCCGCAGTTTCTTCCGCCGCCCGTCTCCCCGCACCCAGCACAACTGCCCTCCTGCTCTGCCAGGCAACTCTCTCTTCCTTTCTTTCTAGTCTCGTCTCGTCTTGTCCTCGTCTCGTCGTGTTCTCTGAGCGACGCACGCTAAAGTCAGGAATTTTTTATTCGGCCACCACATCGCGCCAGCCCAGTAGTTATTCTGCCTGTTGTTCCCGACACCATACCCGGCCAACTCGCCCGAGTTTCTCTCAAGTTACCAGCTTCTATTGAGACGTGCATAACCGCTCCGCATAATCCACCACGGCGACTCCAGTTTCATTTTGCTATCGGCTGCCATGAGTACCGAGGACGTGCCTTCCCTTCGCGATCTTCCGGATGACGTCATTCTTGTCATTCTGAATCGAGTCGGGGACGTCAAGTGTAAGCCTCACGGATTCGTCGCCATAACATGCATTTCACGCTCCGTTTTCACTTGCACACCCAATCTCCCGTTCTTTTCACACTCCATCCGCTCCCCGGTTTGCCGCTCACCCCGCGCTTTTCTAATACAAGTTACCCCGTCGCTCTTTACCATCCTCCGGTCGTCCCTCCCATGCAGCGCTCGGCGCGTGCGCTGCATCTTGCAGTCGGCTGCGCGCCTGTGTGCCACGTGTCAGCACGGCAGTGGTATCCGTTGACAACCTTCTAAAGGCAGGAGCGGCGGCGGACACTACAGGACCGGCGTCCGCCTCTTCTTCTTCTTCTTCGTCCTCCGCCTCTTCCTCGGCCGGGAAGGGCAAAGCCATGACTCAGCTGAAGAGCGCCATGGCCAGCCTTCTGCGATCCTTCCAGGTGAGAGCACGAGAAGCACGAACGCGCGCACTCTCTCTCTCTCTCTCTCTCTCTCCCTCTCCCTCTCTCTCGTCGGTTTCTGTGAAAGTGATTCTTGATTATTGTCAGTGATTCGTGCGACGCACGAGAGTTAGTCACACGCAGAGTTGTGAGTCATCTCTGGACTCAATTTTCTGCTCTTCATTTCATAACTCTCTCCTCACCACCGCCGTCATTCCTGCTCCCCTTCTTCGTATGCTCGTGTTTCTCTGTGCCTCCCTCGCTCCATTCCGAGCAGCAGCGGGAGGACGACGAGGGGAGCAGCGGGGGGTCGGACGGTCCTCCTCATCTGGCGCAGAGTGGGCGGGACGGGCGCGGCGGGCGGGGCAGTATCGACCGGGCGCAGCAGCAGCAACAGCAGCGGCAGCAGCAGTGCTTCGATGTGGAGGACGTGGTGCGGCGCTTCCCCATGCTGCAGGAGCTGCTCATCGTGCTCCCAGGTCCCGCCCTCGCCACCCCCACCCCCAGCCCCCCCCCCTTTCTCTCCATCTCCCTCCCCCATCCCATTCCCCTCACCTTCCCCCTTTTCCCCTCTCACTCCACCTCCCCCTCCGCCCCCCTCTTTCCCGTTCGCACGTTCTCTCGTCCGTGTCCCGTTTATCTTCAGTTTTCTCCGTGCATTCCCGTCGTGCTCCCCTGATGCGTCCCCTTCCTCGTCCTCCGCACTGCACTGACGCTCCATTACCTTCCGTCCCTGCGACTATCCCATCTCCTTCATACCCTCTCTCCCTCCATCCCCTCCCTACGTCCCTTTCGTCCGTGCGTGCAACTCTGCCATCCCATCCCAGACTGCGAGTTCTCTCTAGACAGAGAGGCATCGCTGCATTGGTACGCGGACTTCAACGAAACGCTCTCCTCCTGCGCCATCGTTGCAGCTGATTCCATCTCCCTCCTCTCCCACCCCACTCCCATTCCTCTTAGTACTCCCTCCCCTACGTCTTCCGCCCCCACCGCATCCGCCTCCCCTCCTCCTTCCACTCCTCCTGCTCCTCGCTCTCCTCCTCCTTCCGCTCCACCTGCTCCCCCCACTCCCCCTTCTCCCGTTCCTCCTCCTCCTCCGCCTGTCTCGTGCCCCCACCAAGGTACATCCCTGTCAAACCGCCGGCCTTCACGTATCCCCTCTCTCTCGCGCTCCTCCTCACAACCTCCCCTCTGGGCGCCCCTGTGGGACTGGATGTCAGCTGCTGGCACGTCTTCACCCAGACAAGCCACCGCCACTGCTGCCAGCACAACCCACCAGCAAGCCACCACCACCGCCACTGACACCTCTCCTTCCTCCTCTTCTCCAGGCCCCACCTCGCCCTCTCATCCCTCCGAGCTCTGCAATGGGTCTTCTCCATCGTCTCCCTGCCACGAAAACACGCAGGGAGACGCTGGTTCAGCAGGAAAGTGGATGGGGAACAAGCAGCAGCGTTCTGGCGACCGTGGAAAGGCACGGGACAAGGGGAAGGGGAAAGAGAAGGTGGAGCTTCGGAGAAACTTTGTGGTGGAGACTGGTGACGGAGGAAACGCAGGGCAGGTGGAGCAGCAGGGCGGGTGCATTGTGGCTAGACTGGGCTTTTCCCGGGTGGTGGACATTACAGATTCCTCCCAACAGCCTTATCGGAACGAGCGTCCGGCCGTTGGGATGCCGCCACCTGTCCCGGCTCGCTCTCTCTCCTCCATGACTCGCCTGCTGGCTGCAAGCAGGGGCCGTGCGGCTGCTTTAGTTCATGGTGCAAGCGGCAGTGACAATGGCAGAGGCAGTGGGAGCGGGAGCAGCAGTGGGAGCGGGAGCAGCCGTGGGAGCGGGAGCAGCAGTGGTAGTGGGAGCAGCAGTGGCAGTGGTGGCGGCCTCAACGGGAATGGACTTAGTCACACGCAGATGTGTAATGGCAGCAGCACTGCTAGTGGCACAGACACAGCTGCTCCTGCCCAGTCTAGTGGAAACACTGCAGCAGGCAATGCCGAGAGCAGCAGCAGCAACAGTGAGTTTAACAACCCGGGTGCCTCTGCAAGTAGTGACACTGTTATCAGTAGCAGAGGGAATGGAGGCACTACCTGCATGGATAGCCGTTACTCGGATCACAACAGGCCAACTGACCTTGTAGCAGCCCTGAGAAGGAGTACTACCAACGCCAGTGACAGGGGAGCTGGGTCTTCCTCTGGTAGTAGTAACACTAACACTGCAGGTCACTGTGTCCATCAGAATGCTTTTGCTGATGTCTGCAGCAAGGGCAATGGTGGTGCTCGTAACCAAAGCGGGAGCCTTTCCTCTGGTCGCTCTGCTTGTGATACAAGCCGTCGAAGCAGGGCCAGTGAAAGTGGCAGCAGTAGTAGCAACAGTGGGAGTAGTTTCACCAACCATCGCCCTCCTTTCCTCACCCAAGTGCATGCTGCTGCATCCACAGCCCCAAGCCCAGGCCCATCACGGCGGCAACCACCATATCCCCATTCCACCCCCTCTTTACCATCCGCTTCAATCCGATATCCAGCCCCAACTTCCCCCACGTCATCCTGCTTCCCTACCTCATCAACCCGGCGTCAGCCGTTCCGCCCTCCCCCCATCCGCCTGACGCCAAACGGCCTCAAGGAGCGCATTGCATGGACCATCAGTGCTGCTGTGGCGGCATCGGCTCGCCATGAGCTGCTACGGCGCATTGCAAGGCAGCTGCCAGAGCTGAGGCAGGTGGCCATTGCTGACGTGCAAGGCCAAGGCAGCCTCTCACTTGGTCCTGAACAGGTATGATGATGAGAAAGAGGATGGAGCGATTATTTTGTGTGTGATCTAAATTTGTGGCTAATTTTGTCCAATGCTTCTTTTCTCCTTGTGTTGCAGTTGGCTTGCTTACGCAGAGCTGAAGCTGAGAATGCATCTGGGGAGCATTCCAACGCCTACTCGCCTCGAACCCCGCTTCCGACGCTCAAGATGCTTCTGTGGCACGCACCTTCACTGTCAGTGGGTGATATGGAGCTTACAGGTGCCACCCTAGTCATTTTGCGGAATGAAGCATTGAAGGTGGCAAAAGCTGGTAGTGAGGTGGAAGGGAGCTTGGACTCTGGCACTGCTGATAGCCTACAGAGCACTTCACAAGATCAGACGGGTGGATTGGAGTGCCGGGGCGAGATTGCGGAGAGGAGAGATGCAGAACAGTGCCTGCAGTCTCTTCTGGCATCTTCAGACCCTCTTCTTCATGCAAGTTTGGAGCTGTTGCAGCTTTCACAGACTCAGCGGTTTGAGTTTAGTGCCTTTTAATTGCAACTAAATTCACCACTACCACAATGCTCAACATCACGGTTAACAGGTCATTACGGTACCGTACAACACTTCTGTAACTATCAAAGTTAGCGAACAACGGAATGTGTGAACTAGGGAAACAAGGTATACAAATAGCAACCCTAAAAGTGTTGTACTCCCTATAGTGCTACTCACTGTAGCCTAAGAACCTATAATAACATTTGATACACCCCCATAGGCTAAGTGAGGGGCATCAAAGCAAGCAGGGTGAACAAATGGTCACAAGACCAGTCACTGCAGGAAGCAAAGCAAGCTCAGGGTGGATCTCAAGGACACCACACAAATTCCGAGCACAAGCAAGCGGCCACAAGGCCAGTTCAAGAGTTCACTAGGATATATATAGCAAAGCACAACAAGCAGAGCAAACATCAAGTCTACAGCAACCGAGGGCCTACCTCAACAAGCCCCAACTGCACACAGAAGTTGTGGTGGTCACCAGGCGCCAAGGCCTTGGTGAAGAGGTCGGCAGTGTTGGACTTTGATGCCACAAAGTCCAAGCGTGCCTGGCCGCGTCGCTGCAACTCTCGCAGGAGGAAGTACCTCACGTCAATATGCTTCACTCTGCTCTCCAGTCGAGGCTCTCGACACAGGAGGATCATGGCCTTGTTGTCAGCGTACAAGGTCGGTGCAGAGCGAGGCCGCTCACCAAGGTCGGCGAGCAAGAAGATCAACCAGCGAAGCTCCTGTGCCGCCATGGCACCAGCGTAGAGCTCTGCCTCTGCACTGGACGAAGCCATAGACGACGACCGTGTAGACCTCCACGACACAGCACCAGCACCAAGACTGAAGCGGTAACCCTGAGTCAAGCGCTGGGTCTCCACGTCGTCAGCATAGGAAGAGTCGCAGTGACCAGTCAACGCCACTGGCTGAGTCCCTCCAAGCACAAGCCCCATGCCTGATGTAGTCGCCAGGTACTTCGCCACCCTCACAGCAGCTGTCCAGTGTACAGGACGGTGTCTCCCAGTCGCAACAAAGCGAGAGAGGACGCTGAGGGGAAAGGCGAGGTCCGGCCGAGTACAAGTCATCAGGTACATGAGGCAGCCCACCAGCTCTGCGTAGGGACCACTGGACTCAAAAGGCTCGTCGGGAAAGGGGCCAGTGAGTCTGTGGTCAACAGCAAGAGGTGTGGGCTGTGTGGTGGAGAACTGGAAGTCGAACCGCCGAAGGACCTGCTGCACCATGTGTGACTGAGTCAGTGTGATGGTGCGAGTGGCTCTGTCCCTGGTGATCTGCAGGCCAAGGTAGCGCTGCAGTTCACCTAGGTCAGTGCACGTGTGTCTCTTCTGCAGTTCGGACTTCACCTGAGCCAGAGCTGCCCTGTCTGCTGTGGCAAAGACCAAGTCGTCGACGTACACTAGTATAAAGAAAGGAGTGGAACCAGTGCGAACAAACAGCGACGGGTCGGCAGAGGAAGGACAAAACCCAAGGTCACGAAGCGTGGAGCGAAGAGTGTCGTGCCACTCACGGGGCGACTGGCGGAGACCGTAGACCGGCCGTCTCAGGCTCCACTGGGTCCCAGGTGGGAAGGTGTCAGTGAAGCCAGGAGGGCGGCGCAGCCAGATCTCCTCGTGTAGTCGGCCCTGGAGAAACGCAGTAGAGAATTCAAGGGAGTGCAGCTCGTAGTCTCGCTGTGCTGCTACGTGCAGTAACACCCGAAGAGTAGTCATCTTCGGGGTCGGGGCGAAGGTCTGGAAGAAGTCAACTCCCTCACGCTGACTGAAACCCCTAGCCACGTAGCGCGCCTTGAACACAGGCGGTGAACCAGGCGGCCGCTTCACCTTGAAGAGCCACATGCCATCGACTACGTTCGCCCTGGGAGGGGGAACTGCGTCGACGTAGGTGCCTGTGGATCTCCAAGACGCTAACTCCGAGGCCATAGCCGCTTTCCACTGTGAGGCCCACGCCCCTGACACTGCCTCGCGGTAAGTGCGAGGAGTCGGTATGTCAAGGGCGTCGGGGTCTCCCTCAGGGGATAGCAGCATGGCACAGACAGAGGGAGAAGCGGCTGCCCAGTACTCCAGCTCAGACTCTCTGTCCTCTAGGACGTCACAGCCAAGGGCAAACCCACCCCCGACGGACAGAGGACGGGAGGGAGGAGCTGGCACCACATGGGTGGTGTAGTCAAGGCGACTGGCCGCAGCAAACTCAGCGACAGCGGAAGTGAGAGCCGAGACAGACGACGGAGGGAAACGAGAGTCGGTGACAAGAGTGGCGAGGACACGAGAGACAACAGGACGAACAGCGTGGTAGTAGTCAGTGACAGGAGTAGGGGGAAAGGGAGAGAGGACGGAGGCGGAGACGGGAGAACGGACTCAGGAGGAGGACGACGAAGAGACGAACAAAGGAGGGCAGTGTGGAGGTCGGTAACGGGAGACGAGTGACGAGCACGCGGAGGACAGGGACGGACACGAGAGTGCGGGACACCAGGTGGAGGAGACTGCGGTGGAGGAGAAGACCAGACCGCCGGACTGGCGTCAGGAGGAGAAAACGTGGGACCAAACGCTGGAGGGGACGGAGTGTGAACAGGAGGAGAGGAGGGAAGACCAAGGGCCCGAAGGCCACTCACGGGTGGGAACAACTGCCGCTCCAGAGGGAGCTGCTATGGTCGCAGCTGCGGTGGCGGTGTCTGCTGCTGCTGCGGCTGCTGCTACTGCTGCGGCTGCTGCTGCTGCTGCTGCTGCTGCTGCTGCTGCTGCTGCTGCTGCTGCTGCTGCTGCTGCTGCTGCTGCTGCTGCTGCTGCTGTTGCTGCTGCTGCTGCTGCTGCTGCTGCTGCTGCTGCTGCTGCTGCTGCTGCTGCTGCTGCTGCTGCTGCTGCTCCAGCAGGTCCAACTGCCGCAACTCCTGCCGCTCCCTCTCCAACAGCACCTGCTCCTCACGCTCACGCCGATGGGCCGCCTGGAGACGTGTGTCGTGGCGGTGGGGAGGCGGAGTCGACTCTGCAGAACTAGTGTCTCCAGCTCCAGTCTCCTCAGAACCAGCACCTCCAGTGCCAGCGCCTCCAGCACCAGCACCCCCAGAACCAGCACCCCCAGGACCAGCACCCCCAGAACCAGCACCTCCTGTGCCAGCACCTCCAGCTCCAGCACCCCCAGAACTAGCACCTCCAGTGCCAGCACCTCCAACTCCAGCACCCCCAGAGCTAGCGCCTCCAGTGCCAGCACCTCCAGCTCCAGCACCCCCAGAGCTAGCGCCACCTGCGCCAGCACCTCCAGCTCCAGCACCCCCAGGACTAGCACCTCCAGTGCCAGGACCTCCAGCTCCAGCACCCCCAGGGCTAGCGCCACCTGCGCCAGCACCTCCAACTCCAGCACCCCTCAAACGAGCACCCCCGGACCGAGTACCGCCAGTGGCTGCACCTCCAGCTCCAAAACCAACCGAGTCCACAGTAGCCTGTCGCGGAAGTACCGAAGGCTGCTGAGGGGACTGTGAGGAGGACTGCGGGGAGGGAGCCGCTACCTGACGCGCGACCGAGGGTAGAGGGGTAGCGTGAGATACACCTGACGGGGCAGGACCAGGGGGGGGTTGGGGTACCGGAGGAGCGGGAGCAGGAGGAAGAGAGGGTGCGAGGAAAAGGGGGGGAAGGGGAACCGGGAGACCGCGACAGGGGTACCGGGTGTAGTAGGACAGTGACTCGTCGAACCGGACGTCACGGGAGTCTAGGAACTGGTGGAGGGGCGGGTGGTAAAAGGACCAGTCGGCCGAGGCTACCGGGAAACCAAGGAAGACACAGGGGACGGCGCGAGCCGAGAGCTTGTCCGCAGAGGTGTCGCGGACAAGCGCAAGGCAGCCCCAGACACGAAAAGCTGACCCAACACCAGGGGACCCGGTCCAAAGACTGGTCGGTGAAGCCTCTGGCCGCGAGACGCGCGGCTGGAGGTTCAGCTGGTGAGCGGCGTAGCGAACCGCGTAGGGCCACAGAAAATGGGGCGCACGGGCATGAATCATGGACGTGCGGGCGATGTCCATGACCAAGCCAATGCGGCGCTCAGCAACCCCATTCTGCTGTGGGGACTCCGGCAGCGTCCAGGACTGTACGATGCCCTGCTCGCCGCAGAATCCGGCAAGAATGCCTGAGCGAAACTCACCCCCACGGTCAGAGTGGAGACAGGAGACACGACGGCCACGAGTGCCCTCAGTGGCTAGAAGCCACCGGATCAGCGTAGAAGTCACCTCGGACTTCTTCGCGAGAGGAAACACCGTGGTGTACCTGGAGAAGTCGTCGACAACCACCAAAAAGTAGCGCTCCCTCTTAGGTCCCTGCGTAGGTGCAGGGCCCCAGACATCCAAGTGGAGTGTCTGGAAGGGAGCAGTGGCCGGATGAAGGGAGGAGGAGTGCGGAGTGGCACGAAGACGGCCGGCGATGCAAGGAGTGCACGGCGGCGCAGGCGAGGGAGGGAGCGACGGGAAGACGCGAGGGAGACCTGAGACAAGACGGTGACTAGCCATAGTGCGGAGGCGGGGGATCGACGCGTGGCCAAGACGGTGGTGCCACAAGACGGTCCGGTGGGTGAAAGACTGACACGAGCAAGACGCAGCAACTAGACCGGACACAACAACCTGACCAGACACAGCAACCTGACCGGACACAGCAACCGGTGGGGACGCAGTAACCTGACCGGACTCTGCTACCGGGGGGGACGAAGCAACCTGACCAGACGCAGCTACCTGCGGGGGCGGAGTGTGCAGGACGAAGAGACCTGAGTGGGGCTCTCTGGTGAACGTGGCAAGAACTGCCCCGGTGGAAGAGTCCGTACAGATCGCAGTCCTCCCGTGCGCAGGAAAAGTGACTGTGATCCCCCGGTCCTGAAGGTATCCAACACCCACCAAGTTCCGAGAGAACGAGGGGATGTAGAGACCAGTGAGGAAACCAGAGGGGACAGCTGGGCACGGGAGGGTGGTCGAGCTGCGAGCAACTGCTGGTCCTGAAGTAGGATCAGCCAGGGCAACTGGGACTGGAGCCGAAAGAGGTGTGACAGTGGTGTGGTCGCGGAAGAAGCACTGAGACGCGCCGGAGTCCAGCGTGAAGGAGAGCGACGCAACAGCAGTCGTCACGGCCGGGCTAGTGACTACACAAGCACCTACACTAAAAGCACAAGTACCGACACTAGCAACAGGCAAAGGTCCTAAGCTAGGTACACGTAAGCCAAGAGATCCGTATGTGACAGAATAAACAGCATCCATAGACATATCAAATACAGGGTAACCACTACGAAAAAGACCGGGCCAGATCGGGGGAGCCGACTCAGGCCCAAAACGCTCACGGTAAAGGTCGTCGAGGCGGCTGTAGCAGCGCTGTGCAGAGTGGTCAGGACGCCAGCAGGTAGTGCCAGCACCAGGGCCGGTCAGGATCCGGTACTGGCAGGGGCCGACGTCGCGGCCACCGCGACAAGCCCCCCAGCTGGCTGGGCCGCTGCTGCAGCCAACGCGACTTGAACCACCAGGCCCCCACGGCTGCTGAGGGCGCCACAGCTGCTGAGGGCGCCCCTGCTACTGCGGAAGCCACAGCTGAAACGGCCGCTGCTGCTGTCCCTGCTGCTGGAGAACCCTAGTGGACTCCATGATAAAAGCTAGCGGGGTGCAGGAGCGGCAGGCTAGGAGCGACAGGAGCTAGGGACGGCTGCAGTGAAAAACGAGAACAACTAGGAGCGCCAGGTGAAACTAGGCGAGTAACTGCTGGAGCACGGAGCGAACTAAGCTAGGAGCGCCAGGTGAAACTAGGCGAGGAACGGCTGGAGCACGGAGCAAACTGAGCTACGAGCGAGGAGCGAGAACGGCTGGAGCGAGAACGGCTGGAGCACAACTGGTTGGAGCTAGAAACGGCGAGCTAGGGCTGGCTGGAGGTAGGAACGGCCGGAGCTAGAGACCGTAAGTGCGGCTGTCGGCTGCCGCTAGTAGAGCCACTGGCAGTGGAACGTACGTGCGACAGTAGGGGCTGCAGTACTGACGGCTGCGGGATGCTGGCAACTGTGCAGGTCGTCCGGCAAGCAGGAACGCGGGCGACAGTTGCAGGCCCCCACCCGAAACCCTTTATTTATTTTCTGGCGCTAAAGCGCTCCGGCGCGCGCTGCCGGCAGGGTGTGCTGCCTGCGGGGCGCGCTACCCGCGGGGCGCGCCGCCTGCGGGGCGCGCTACCCGCGGGGCGCGCTACCCGCGCGGCGCGCTGCATGTGGGGCTGGGGCGACGGGCCAGGGCGCGGGCTGGGGCGACGGGCTAAGGCGGGCGCCTGGGCGACGGGCTAGGGCGGGCGCCTGGGCGACGGGCTAGGGCGCGGGCCTGGGCGACGGGCTAGGGCGTGGGCCTGGGCGACGGGCTAGGGCGGGCGCCTGGGCGACGGGCTAGGGCGGGCGCCTGGGCGACGGGCTAGGGCGGGCGCCTGGGCGACGGGCTGGGGCGGGCGCCTGGGCGACGGGCTGGGGCGGGCGCCTTGGCGACGGGCTGGGGCGGGCGCCTGGGCGACGGGCTGGTGCGGGCGCCTGGGCGACGGGCTAGGGCGGGCGCCTGGGCGACGGGCTAGGGCGGGCGCCTGGGCGACGGGCTAGGGCGGGCGCCTGGGCGACGGGCTAGGGCGGACGCCTGGGCGACGGGCTAGGGGCGCAGGCTAGGGGCGCTGAGGGCGCTAACGCGCGGAGGAGGAGGGCGCTAAGGCGCGGAGTTGGCGCGGAGGGCGCGGAGGCTAAGGCGCGGAGGGCGCGGAGGGCGCGGAGGGCGCGGAGGGCGCGGAGGGTGCGGAGGGCGCGGAGGGCGCGGAGGGCACGGAGAGCGCAAGGGTGCGGAGGGCGCTAGGGCGCGAGCTAGGCTAGGCTAGGCGAGAGGATCGACACCTGCTCTGATACCATCTCAAAGTTAGCGAACAACGGAATGTGTGAACTAGGGAAACAAGGGATACAAATAGCAACCCTAAAAGTGTTGTACTCCCTATAGTGGTACTCACTGTAGCCTAAGAACCTATAATAACATTTGACAGTAACCTGCAAGCCACTTCCCCTTTATGAACCACATGGACGATACATCAGCTCACCCAGCTGCTTCCTGAGCAAGAAAGCCTGGTGAAACTTGTTGTCTTTTACACTAATCAGCAAATCGTCCAGTATGTCCTCCAGTGCTTGAAGGTGACCACCCAGCTGAAACACACACGACAAGAGTGAAACAAGAAGTTAAGTTGCACTGGCATGATAATGCAACTGGGTGATGTGCTGGCTATGCTTACCCTGTCTAGGCCTTGGGAGAATGGGGCTGCAGAGAAGTCCAGCTTTGTGTATGCAGCCACCGACTTATCTGCTTTTACAGCATTTTCTGTTTTCTTGTTTAAAACAGCTTCAGCCTTCGCAGTGAAGAGTTTAGATACACTTAGACCCATATGAGCTGTCAAAAAGGTGGCATGTTGAGGAATGAGAAAACCGTAAAGCGAAGCAAACAGCAACTTAACATGATGTTCTACTGTACCTCCATAGCCTGCTGCAAATCCCGCAAAGGTAGCACCATACACGAATGATGGAATCACAATAACGCCAGCCATAGCCAACGTCAGGGCTGCGTCCGCCTTTTTCCGTGCACCTACTTCCTGTGAAGAAAACACAGACACGGAGCGCATGTAGATGAGAGCTCAGAGTCTCAGACACTGAGCGGGTGAGAGTACATCGCCTACAGATTACCTTAGTTTTTTTCTTGGCACCATGTTGGAATTCCTCTTTTAACTTGGATTGCTCGTCTTTACTCAAATATGTTTTCAGAAGAAGCTTCTTCGCATCCCTATTGACACCATCAGATTCTTCGATCAACCTTTTCAGCTCCTTCAAGGTCTCGCCACCAATGATACAGAACTCTTCCAGGTCTTTACCGCCTGGTGTAAGTAGAGCGCCATTAGCGAACAATACATTTTTTAACCGCCGAAATCAAATTACGTGCAATGGCTTACCAGGTGCTTCGAGTTCCGAAAGCGCCTGCAACTTCGCTTGAATGCTCGCGCACTCTGTCGACAACTTCAACTTGTATGCTGCACACAGATTCGCCGCATCTACGCAAACCTGTCGAACTCCACCGTTTTCGTGATCTACCAAGTCTCTCGCACAATTCTCGAGTTCAGAATACTTTGAATCGCAAAAAACAAGCAGGTCGCTTATTACAGAAACGCGAGAAGCCATGGCCGACAAACACTAAGAGGGACGACAGCTCGTCTTCAAAGCAACACAACCTTGAAGAATAAGAGCATTTAGGCAGACACATGCTGTTCGGAAACCCAAGCCCCCCTCTACTTGATTACTGATGACGGCCATTAGGAAAGAATATCCGGACAGGTCATGCCTCGATTGTGTCGAGAATTGACTGGGCATGGGAAGTGTGCATGTCGAGGGACCGTCCAGACAGCGCCTCGACAGTTCAAGGCGAAAAGAACCTCGTTAAAAAGAGGTTTCTCTCCTCTCAAGCTCCTCCAGCTAAAGGGGAAACAGTCTGTTTGTTTACACTATTACAGAGAAGAAAAGTGTTATTTGTGCATGCACATTCCATGGTACTATTAGGGCTTGTTTTTCACGCCACCTCTGTTGTAAAGGACTCTCCTCTACTATGCAGGAACTGGGAGTTGTGCTAAACAGTAGAGCACTGTCTTAGATTTCCAACGGGCCGTAGATCACGTCGATCGCCTAAGTATCCGCCGAGATATGAGCTCTCTGGATTTTGTGTTCGAATGCACTTCATACAAAGTGATTCACAATGTTCAGTGTGAAACATGCAATACAAAGCAAACAGATTTATAGCATGCAATCAACATCGAGTCGCACAAGTAACATCGCATCGCTACACTTCGCGAATGTTCTCGTAACATTTCGAAGGGGTGAAATTCGACACTCGAATTTCACTCATTCGAATGTTCCTTCAAGTCCCGAACTTTCTGGTGCTGCCATGTGGCACCGAATCGATTGGTCTTCCGAAGTCAAACTTCAGCTCCACGCAAACCTGCAGCTCACTCGAAAGTGAGCACCAAACCAACACCGTTCGGTGGTTGGGGGCAATGTTGCCTCACGCAACCTCCAACACTCCCCCTTGCACCCAAGCCACTAGGTGTTCAATCCAACATGCTCATAGCATGTACGGAATGTACCTATAGGGAGTGGTTTCGTGAGAGAATCCACTCGTTCATCATCACTGAGAGTTGCGAAGCAATATGCCGCGCCCTCCTTATCCATCTCCCCAACGGCTACCGTAGCGTAGTCCGCGTACTTGGGGTGAGGACGAACCTCACGACGCTCGCGGGTCAAGGCCAATGGTAGGGAGGAAGGTGTGGAGGTAGTTGCCGCCTCGGTTGGTGACACCTCCACGACATCATCAACGCTCTCCTCGTTGTTCTCTCCCCCTCCATCGGATTCCTTCTCCACTTGAGGTGGAACCTCACTTTCTTCAACCTCCTCTCGTGCCGGAAGGATGAAGGTGACTTGTTGAGTTGGTTTCTCCTTCGCCGGGAACTTGCCTTCGTCGAAGACCACGTCCCGAGACGTGACGACGCGCTTTTCACCCAAGTCCCACACTCGCCATGCACGCTCGTTTGGCGCAATTCCCAAGAAGATCGTCGCACGAGCCTTCGGTTGCAACTTGTGGCGAAGGGGATCCGGTACACCTCACCCCACCACTCGCTCCCAAGCTTGGAGTGTTGAAAAAGAGAACGAACGGCTTCCACCAACGTGCGATTAAGCCGCTCCGCCACTCCATTTTGTTGGGGTGTGTAGGGTGTTGTGACATCATGCTTGATGCCCTTGCTCTTCATCCATTTCGCAAGCTCGTTGTTCACGAATTCGCCACCACCGTCGGTGCGAATAGCCTTGATCCGCTTCTTGTCGTCGTCGCAAACTTCGAGCGCCCACTCTCGAATTGCCTTGGCCGCATCGCCCTTAGCCTTCAAGAGTCGGGTCCAACACATCCGCGTTGCGTCGTCGAGCATCACCAAGAGGAACCGCGCTCCTCCCTTTGATGCGTGCCGCATCGGTCCACACACATCCATGTGAACAAGCGCAATCGGGTCCTTAGCGAGGGGTGACGTTCGGCTACCGAATGGCTTGCGAGCCATTTTTCCTTCGACACACGCCGCGCACACGCCCTTCTCGTCGTCGCCGACGGCCACGTCGAATCCCTTCGCAAGTCCTTTGTTGGCCAACTCCTTGACCGAGTCGTAGTTGGCGTGCGCAAGCCGATTATGCCACACCTTGAGAGTCGCCTTGGAGCCTTGCGCCACGTTAGATGAAGCCGATTTCGGGTGCGTCATGAGTTGGTAGAGTTCTCCGTTGAGAACGCCTTGTGCGAATTGCTGCCCCTTCCAAAAGAGGTTCATGTTCGCATCGTCCATGGTGAAGGTCACTCCCTTCTTCGCAAGTTGCGAAACGGAGAGGAGATTCACCTTCGAGCCCGGGACATGAAGCACGTTCGTGATGTCCACCGGTCCGCTATCGACGATGAGGCGCGTACTCCCAACTCCAACCACCGGTAGCGACTTGTTGTTTCCGAAGACGACGCGCGTGACGTCTCCCGGTGCACCAACGTTGGTGAGGAACGATGCCGAGTGCGTCATGTGTTGTGTTGCGCCGGTGTCGAGGAACCACGCGTCGCTTGGAGTGTTGGTCCCGTCACCGGCCAATAACACGATCGACTCCCTTGTATCATCCGCCTCGCCGGATGCCGTGTGCGCGTTGCCCTCGTGGTTCCGCGCCTTCGATGGAGTCCAATCGCTCGGCCGCTTCCGACAATCTCGCCAAAAGTGTCCCGGTTTGCCACAATAGTGGCACTTGCTCGCGCCGTTCGATGCGTTTCCCTTGCCGCGATCGCTTCCACCGGACGACTTCTTCGTCGCACCTTTGCTCCACGTGGACTTCTTTCCGGAACTCCCTCCGGAGAACATGGCGGCACCCTCGCTCTCATTAGCGAATTGTCGGCGACGCGATTCCTCATGGAGAAGTCGACCGACCACCATTTCCTTCGTCCAAGTGTCTTGCACGCTATCGAGTGTCGTAATCAACGTCGACCACTCTTCCGGAAGGCCGCAAAGCAAGGTCAATATCCAATCCTCCTCCGTGACCGTTCCACCGAGGTCCATGAATGTTTCCCCGAGTTCCTCCACACGAGTCGCATACTGGTGCATCGATTCGCCCGCGCGCATCTTCACCGTGTAGAACGCATTCCGGG